ACATGTTGTGCTAAAGTGCAGTGAAGAAGTTAGGAGTTAAGTCATCATCCTTAAGGTAGTCTTAGGTCCATCCCCCAACCATGACCACCATGCAAAAGGAGAAAAGTGTGGCCAGTATAGCATTCTCACAGTGTACGCTACCAGACACTGCCTGGCAACAGTTTCTGACCTAATTGGAAGGGACAGTCCAATGGCATAAAAGGTATTGCCAACCCCACATGCCCCACCACATTTTTAGCCACCCTAGCAGAAGAATAAGGATGGACCTGTAGACATCATGACGTTGGCAGTGGTGGCTCTTCTTTCCTTCCCTTGTTTTCCCTTCCCTTCCCTGTTTCTCAGGTAGTCATAAATCTGATCTTCACTTACAGTGGGACAGATGTTGTCTCCTAAGCCCCACATTCCAACTCATCCACAATCCACTGAGTGAAGAGGAGTCAGTGATGACTGAGGCAAAGCAATTGTTGAGTATTTTAGCTGTCTTCTTATCCTTATTACCAGCCTGCCTGTATTTTTCATTAGAAAGGGTACACCTTCTTATACTTTCCTCTTATAGTAAACGGACCCTTCTTGCTCTTCACACTCTTTGCAAAGTCTTGTTGGTCCTTGGCCTTCCCGATTCCATCCATACACAACCTTGCAGCATGCTTATGCATCCCACGGTACCTGTCCCAGCTTCCACTACCTGTGCATTTTCTTCTTGCTTACCAGTTTGACCAACAGGTCCCAGTTTAGCCATGTTGGTCTCTTGCTTTCTTTTCCTGACTTCCTACATCTGAAGCTGTAGGAAAGCTCCTGTGCACTAAGAAGAGCCTCCTTAAAGATCTGCCATATCCAATCCTTGTCCTTGAGGACAGTTTCCCAGGTGGTTTTGTTGACTAACTCCCTGAAGAGCTGGAATTATGCTTTCCTAAAATTTAGAATCTTTTAGATTGACTCTTTGTCCTTTGTACCTCAAGGAGTGTGAACTCCAATATTTCATGGTGACTATAGCCCAGGCTGCCTCCAATCCTGATGTCACCAATCAGTTCATTTGCATTGGTGAGCAACAGGTCCAGTATTGCACCCCCCTCTCCCCCCCGACAGAGCTACTTTGTGGTTCAAGCAGTTATCCTTGACGCACTCCAGAAGACTCTTGGTTTGCCTACAGCTCACAGTGCTATTTTACTAGCAGATGTCAGAGTGGCTGAACTCCCAAGCACAAGAGCCTGTGATGGCAGTAACTCCTGGAGATGAAGGAAGAAAGCTTCATAAAGCTCTGCTTGATCAGGTGATCTGTTGTAGACATCAACCACAAGGCTCTCTTTGTTGCTCTCTCTCATCCATAAACTTTTGACTTGCTCATGACCATTGTTCAGAAACATCTCACCACACTTTGTTCCCTTCTTGATGTAGAGAGCAATACCTCTCCCCCTCCTTCCTTGCCTGTCCCTTCTATGTGGCCATCGATAGCCACATTTGAGTCGTGGGAGTCATCCCTCCAGGTTTCAGTGAAGGCAACTTCATCATGGTTTTCAGGTAGCACAGTGGATCCAGCTCCTCCTATTTTTTTCCCAAGCTGTGTCTGTTCGTGTAAAAACACTTCAGCTGGGAAGCTGGCCTTATTGCCTTCTTGGAGGATAACTTCTTAATGCCTTGTATTTTCCTTGAGTTTCCCCGTTGCCTTCTTTTTCCTCAGTGGTCCCTGGCTGATTGTCATAAGATTTAAGTGTGCTCAGTGTTGTCAGTATAGCTAAGGGCAGAATATTGAGGGCCCCCACTAACACCCTGCCTCTCTAGCCTGACTATGCTGTCCCACACCTTACCATGTGCAGTCTCACTATTACCCACCCATGTTTTTACAATCTAGTCTAAAGCCCTGCTAACTTTTTGCCATGGAGCCTTTTCCCTCTATGAGAGAGGTGAAAGCTGTCTAGTGACTGCAAGCCCAGTGCCATGTAGGCCATCACATTATTAAAAAAAAAACCACCAAAATTATAGCATTGATATCAGTCATGAAACCGATGTTTATAGATCAGATCCCTCTGTTTCTTACAGTATCCTTACCCCTAAGGGTAGCAGAGAAGAAACTTGTATTCTTGATTCCTTCAGCATACCCAGATCAAATGGATCTGAAGTCCATTTTGATAGCTCTTGAACTATATGTAATAATATTCTATTAATAATCTTCCACATGGAAAAGCAGTAATGGTTACAGACCTGTTTGCTATACAAGGCCTGGAAGTTTTCTGGTGATGTCCTTTATCCAAGCACCAAGGAGACAGCAAACTACTCTGAGAGTCTGCCTAGCATAATGGGAGTTGAGTTCCCAGCAGGGAGAAATCCCCTGTATCTAACACCCCCCTCTTCTTGTACGTATCCACACTCTATGTATCCAGAGTAACACACTTTTGTTCCACTAGAACTTAGTCAACTACCCTGCCAAGGGCAGAGTTGCCAATCAGTTGGCCAGGACCACTCAACCTGATCTTTGTTCAAGGTTCAGCTGGGTCAGAATTGTTTTCTTCAGAGTGTCTGGTACAATGTTGTTTTGGTTCTAAGAGAAAAACAATGCTGATAACATACAGATGTTTATAGTTATCGCTAAGCAGTATTATGCAGAGCCAAGGCTGTTCCAGTTTCTCTGCTTATACTAACAAAGGGCTTGGAGGGGACAGAATCAGGATAGCTGACTTAAACCGGCCAAAGTAGTATTCCATACCATTTGACATCACGCAGGGGAGTTTAGAAAGGGACAGGAGTCCATCTCTCTCATTTCTGTCATTTGGGGGGCTAGCTGGGCATCAGACAGTGAGAGGTGAGCAATTCTTGTGCATCACTTGTTACATACATTCACATACATACACACGTACAGTCGTAACTATTATCATTTTCATTTCCTCCGTCTTGGTAAACAGTTTTATTTCAATCCACGAGTTCTATTTTGTTGTTTGTTTTTTTTCTTCTCCCCCCATCCCACTGGGAAGTGGGGGAAGTGACCAAATAACTCTGTTGTGCTTAGCCACCTGCTGGGTTAAAACACAAAATGCCTCCTGAGATAGGGCATCCACAACTTTTCTGGGCAACCTGTTTCAGTGCTTCAGAACCCTCTGAGTTAAAAATTTCCTCTGTATGGCCTAAATTTTCTCTTTTTAGTTTAAGCCCCTTCACCCTAGTTCTACCTCTATAGCACCATACAAAAAGTTGATGAACCTCAGTTTTTCTCTAGAGAGAAAAGTCCCCCACCCTAATGCAGTGAAAGAGAGAACCAACACTTAATGTAAACGTGTATTATTTTTTAGTTCGTGATCATAAAGTTATTGGAAACAAGAAAAGTCTTAAAACATCAGGTCAGCCTGCAACTCAACTGCTCAATTTTATTTTTTAAGAATGACAGAACTACTGTACTACTGAAAGTGAAAAGTACAGAATGCAGATCCAAACACACAAGACAATGAACTTCACAAAACACAGCATAACAATTTGTTCACATAAAGCTTGGTTAAAGTGCGGAACACCTTAGCACAGATCACTGCCAATGTTAAATATTTTCGTAGGTTCAAAAACAGTCTGCATGTAATTAATTGCACAAGCGTATGTGGGTGCAGAAAATCATTCAGCCACAATCAGCGGTGGCTTGAAGAATGTTCAGGAAGAAGTAACTACAGGTCTCAGTCTATACTTTTCCCTAATCTTTTTCCCAGAATTTGTTATTGATCAATGTCAGAGACAGAAGACTGGACTAGGCAGACATCTGGTCTGAATTAGCTGTTGCCTTGTGGTAACAGAGAAAACAAGGGTAAGGAGTCCACACAAGGTTCCAAAGTCACAACTTTTAAATGTCAGTATGGGAACTGAACTGGGAGATTTAACAAGCAAACAGTTGTGGAAATATGCAGTGAGCATAAACCTCAACGTTGTGGAAATTTCTAATGTTTGCTCTAGAATTTCATCCTCATTTTTTCTCAGTAGAGACACTTACGAGGATCCAGAGGAGATAGAAGGAAAGCAGGACAAATACATTTGAAACTAATTTTCAGGGAGAATATCATCATCTGATAATACTAGAGGGAATAAATAATGTGCAAAGTAAAATAATCAGAATAGAGAAGGAAAAGTGGGAAAAAATGTAATGTCAAGGAAACAAGAAAAAAACAAAGTTATCAAATTCTAATGTGTTTATAAATCATTTATATACCAGTCTAGTAATGAAAAAAAAATTGTTACAAAGAAAGGGAACTCCTGAACACAAATTATCTAATTACATTGTCTTAATTTAATACTTCTACTGTCGTGCTGATCTTCAGTCGAAGAGCAATTTAAGAATTCCAAGCATTTCTCTATCTGCCTTTTCTTAACCTTCATCATATTAAGATGATATTATTCCTTCTAACTTCCTCTTTAGTTTAAAATCTTGAAACTTTACAACTTTTTCAGTTGTGATTAAAAACCATGTTTTTAACAACAAATTCAAAAACAGAATCCTTATCTTCTTATTTTTTATACATGCTACTACCACATCCATGTGTCTAAAAATTAATATTGACAATAGCCGCAGTTTTTAACAAAAAAAAAAATCTATAATATCATCTTCATGCACAAAGTTTCTTTCAGGAGGCCAAAAGGAAAAAAAAGTAGCACATTGTCCCTGGCACTTAATTTCTCTCCATATTCAGTGGATTGCTATTTGAGGTCTTCCCTTCCCTTTCACCATTACAGATACAACCTACAAGCAATCCCCTTCTCTCTTAAAGCAAATTCACAGGAGAATGCATTAAGTTTGACGTAAATAATGACTTTTTGTTGAAAAATTCAGATGCATTTTATAGCCCAGCATCAGTGTTTAAAGGCTACACTAACCAATGCACAGTGTCCTACAGAAAATTACCTTGGAACTTGCAGGACAGTCCCATTGGTGTTCTTCGCAGAGATGTAAGCAATTAAGAGATCACAAAATGAGTAACTATCTTATGAAAAAATTTCAGTGTTTTTAGAAAAGGCAGAATTAGGGAAAAAGTTACCTTACTTGTTGTCTGCAAGTATTTTCCTTCAAACAATCTATGGATTCAGCTTTCACAGTGCAGAACACAAACATCTTTCCAAGTTCTTAAAAGCAGGGGAAGAAATGAAATAAAATTGATTACTACATCATTCCATCACTACTCTGAATTCTGTAAGACAGATACATTAATCTGTTTAAGGCTAAGACAGACATAGATGAAAGAGCAAATCACTACTGAATTTAAGTATAAAAAAGATTCCCTTTTTCCTTTTTTTTTTTTTTTCCAGATCTGAGATTTTATGAATATCCAGCAGAAAAAAAAAAATGCTATATTAGAAATCCATTGATTATGATAAAGGATATGAAAAAAAATCCGTAAAACTTCCTGGAGATACATTAAGAACTAGCTTTTCAAGGTCAGAGGTTATATGGAAAGAAATGCTGAACTTAATACAAGTGACTATTCTCAGCAAACATTTAACTATATTTAAAATATATACATTGATTCTTGGAGGTGAGGAAAGAATTCCATGATCAAGCTAAACCGGATTTATTCTTTGTCCTCTGATGTACCAGAAACATACTCACATGGCAGATACTCAAAACTGCAAGTGTGATTAAAAAAGGGGAGAAAGGGGAAAAAGGGGAGAAAGGGGGAGAAAAGGGGAGAAAAGGGGAGGTTTCTATTTCTCTTTAAGTGTAGGTAGTTTTTAATTTAGCATATACAGAAAACTTTGTATCTTCAAAAGGATATTCACTTCAAAAGAACCTCGCTCTCCTGAAGTTTCTGTTAGTTGATTCATTCACCTGTGGCTAATTCCACGGTGACCTTTTCAAGACAAGAACAACTGCCGAGTTACACATTTACTTTGAGACAACTCAATAACTTGCTTTGATTCAAAGCACACCCTCCATAAAAAGCACAGAGATTTGCTCAGATTACTTCTGGACGTACAAAATCCACGATATCCTGACTTACGTCAGCCGTTAATCAATGTCACTTCTGAAAATGCTTTGTTTAGATCCCCTTCTTCCTGCCTTTTCTAGATTAAACAACCCTTTAGGATTCTGCGTTGTGCTGAAAGGCAACTGGAAACTCAAACACACCAACTTCAGATCTTTTACGGAAAAACAGAATTTAAAACTTCTATAGGGAAGGATGCAGACCTCCAGATCCGTAGATCTTCACTTTTCTAACGTGCTTTTCAAACCTGGGAGCCACGCGGAGAATTTCAGTGTGACACTAAGAGTGAGATGAGCGAGCGAGGCAGCGCAAAAGCCGTGCGCACGAAGCTCACAGCAAACCAACCCCAATCCTCCAGCGGGCCCCGCTCACAGCAGACGTGCAGCTGTGTTGGCACAGGAACGCCTGGGACGCCTTACACAAGAACTGCTGCAGAGCAGCCCGGTCAATGCGTAGCCCTCGCTCGCACTTGCAGAGTTTTTTCAGGTTTTGCATTCCCTCCCCGCCCCTTCGTGTTGTGTTTTCGCAGTAGTTTGTTTGCCGTTGTGCGATCTGATGTGTGAAAATGATTCCAGATCAATTTCCTTCTCCTAGCAGAGCGGTTTTTCAGCCTAAGAGTCCCCTGCTCTGAAATCTACGAGCCGGCACAATAGGAAACTCTGCCACGAGAGGCAGACGGCTGGGTGGATCGGGGAAGTGGTTCCCACAACACCTAATAAAGAGCAGAGGGACGCGCAGCCGGAGGAGGTGGTGGGTGTAACGACGGCGGCCCGGCAGCACCGCCAGCCGAGGCTAACAGAGGGAGGAGGGAGCGGCAGGAGATCCCCCAGCGGGGTGACAGCCACCCGTAGCGAGGACCACCCCCCCCCGCCACGAGGCTCCCAGCCACGAGGCTGCCCCCGCCTCAGCCCGCGCCCGCCCCGCGCTCAGCGCTTCACGACCGTGCCCCACAGGGGGTCGGGCCGAATATCAGCCCGGCGCTTGCCTCCCGGGCAGCGGCAGCGGAAGCGGGCAAGCGCCCCTCTTCGCGGCGCGCTCACCTTCCTTCTCGTCTCCCCGCCCCGGCCACACCCGCGACCCCGCCCCACCTGCGGCGCATGCGCGGCCCACCCGCAGGGGCGCGCGCCCTCGGAGTTTAGCCGCGGCACCGCCCCTCTCCTTTGCGCGTGCGCTCTGGCGCCGTTGCCGTGGTAACGGGACGCGGTGCCAGGAGCCAGGGAGGGCCGAGCGCCGGTGGCCGTCATGTCCGAGATATTGTGCGAGTGGCTGAACGAGGAGGTGAAGCTCTCCCGGAGCGTGGGTGAGTGGCAGCCCCGCTGCCTCGGGAGGGGGCAGGGGCTTGCGGGGCCGCAGGGCTGGCTGTCAGTGCCGGGCATCCCGCGAGGCTGCCAGTCAAGTGAGTAGGTGAAGCTCACGTTGCAAAGTTACTACTCTGAAAGCAGATTTACTTGTAGCTTACAAACTACTTACTGATACACTCATGTCACAAAAAATAGTAATGACAATTAATGTCCAAATTCCTTTAATGGTCGTATTTTTTGTGGAAAAAAACCTCACAACCCAGTTCCAAGATCAATTTCAGAAGAATTTTCTACCGGCTACCTCCTTGGAGAACTTCTGCACAAATACGGTCTTCAGGATGACTTTAATCAGTTTTCACAGAGCAGGTTGGTACTTGTGGATAACATGTTTCTTACAGAAATTAGGCAAAAATATTTATTTATTCTTCAGAAATATGTCTGGTTTTTTGTGATTGAAGTGCAGGACTCAGCACTCAGTCTTATTGAAGCTCATACAGGTGGCCTCAGCCCATCACTCAGCCTATCTAGCCTACCCTCTGGCAGATCAGTACTTCCTCCCATCTTGGTGTCATCTGCAAAATTTCTGAGGGTGCACTCAATCCCCTCTTCCAGATCGTCAGTAAAGATATTAAACAGGGCTGGCCATAGTACTGACCCCTGGGGAACACTGTGATCAGTCACCTGCTGGGTTAAGTTCTACTCACCAAGAAACAAGGCGAGATGTATTATGGGGACAGTAATGAACTCCGGGTCTATTTCCTGCAGGGATATGGTAAACTCTGTGTTACCAGAAGATCTTTAAATTAAAATTCAAAATTTTTGTAGAATTATGCTATAATTCATCCCTCTGTACTCAGCACTGATGAGGCCACAACTCAAGTATTGTGTTCAGTTTTGGGTCCTTCTCTGCAAGAAAGACATTGAGGCCCTGGAGTGTTTCCAGAGAAGGGCAACAAAACTGGTGAGGGGTCTGGAGCACAAGTCTTATGAGGAGTGGCTTGTAAGGGGGGGTACTAGGATTGTTCAGTCTGGAGAAGAGGAGGCTCAGGGGAGACCTCATTGCACTCTATAACTTCCTAAGGGAAGATTGTGATTAGGAGGGGTTTGGCCTCTTCTCCCAGGCAACTAACAGGACCCGAGGAAATGGCCACAAGTTGGGACCTGGGTGTCCTGGTGGACAACAGGTTGGCCATGAGCCAGCAGTGTGCCCTTGTGGCCAAGAGGGCCAATGATATCCTGGGATGCATTAAAAAGAGCATGGCCAGCAGGTCGAGGGAGGTGATCCTCCCCCTCTACTCTGCCCTGGTAAGGCCTCATCTGGAGTACTGCGTCCAGTGCTGGGCTCCCCAGTACAAAAAAGACAGGGATCTCTTGGAAAGAGTCCAGCGGAGGGCCACAAAGATGGTGAAGGGCCTGGAGCATCTCTGCTATGAAGAAAGGCTGAGTGAACTGGGTCTGTTCAGCCTTGAGAAAAGAAGACTGAGAGGGGACCTGATCCAGGTCTATAAATATCTGAGGTGTGGGGGGCAGAATGGCGAGGCCGGACTCTTTTCAGTGGTGAGTGGAGACAGGACAAGGGGAAACGGCCGGAAACTGCAGCATAGGAAGTTCTGCACCAATGTGCGCAAGAACTTCTTTGCAGTGAGGTGACGGAGCACTGGAACAGGCTGCCCAGGGAGGTGGTGGAGTCTCCTTCTCTGGAGATGTTCCAGACCTGCCTGGATGCCTACCTGTGCGACCTGCTGTAGGGAACCTGCTTTGGCAGGGGGGTTGGACTCGATGATCTCTGGAGGTCCCTTCCAACCCCTACAATTCTGTGATTCCGTGATTCTGTGAAGTTGTACCAGAGGAGGTTTAGATTAGATATAAGGAAGAACTTTTTCTCTCAGAGAGTGGTCAGGCACTGCAATGGCTGCCCAGGGAGGTGGTAGAGTGGCCATCCCTGGCAGTGTTCAAGAGGCATCTGGATGAGGAGCTACAAGATATGATTTAGTTTGTGGTAGCATGGTAATGGGAGGATGGTTGGAGTAGGTGATCTTACAGGTCCTTTCCAACCTTGCAATTCTATGATTCTATGAATCTGTGAATCTATGAACTCTACTGGCCTTAAAAGATTATTGGTTCATGTAAAGGAATTATTGTGAAGTTATGGAACAGTATAGAAAGCATAATGTTCTGACTCAGCTAGTAGTTATTGATTTGTTGATTGAATTTGATAATTATGTAATTTGGTAATTATGAAATATTATTTAGTATTATTCTTCTTTTGGCCTGTATATCTTCTGATCCCAAGTGATTCCACAGGACAGTCTGCACAAGAGAAGCACTTATCTGCAATCCATTGTTTTGGTTTTAAATATAATTTTTTCTCATTGGAACCATAATCTTTATTTTTCAACACTATTCCAAGTCATTACGTTGCTGTGAGAGTTGTTAGATTGTATAGGCTTCATTTTTTTCTTTCTGTTTTTAATTTAATTTCATATATTTTAACTGCTTAGAGCTTATGTGGATTGGTCTTTCTTCTAATTATTTGTGGCTTTTTGTAGATGATATACTTTTAACTACAATTTGGAGTAAGATTTTGCTGTCATGTGCTTTCATTGTGTGCATACGTCAAGATTTACATAATGCAGTTTGTCTCCTATTTGTTTTCCAAGAGTTATGTCTAGCAGACCAACTTATTTGTAGGTACACATATAAAATATAAGTTGAAATGTGTATTATTTCACTCCAGGGAAGTCCACTGAGTTTTTTCCCCCCTCCTATCTTGATATGAGATAAATCTAATGACCATGCTTATTGAAATTAAAGGTATGTTTAAATTTTGATTTTTGGATTCTTTCTGCTTTTTAATCACATAGGGCTGCAAATGCAAAGCTTAACAATTTTTCTCTCCTGGAGCCCACACTTCACCTGCTTGGAGTACAGTTTAATGAGAATGTGGCCCATGACATCATGATAGGAAAGCATGGGGCTGCAACAAAGCTTTTATATGAATTGTACATTGCTTTAGAAAAAAAAAGAAAAACAAAGCTCACTGGAGTAGCTATGGAAGCAATAAGACCTGCAGTACCTGCAAGGCTCAAGTCTATTGGAAGTGTTTCATTTCGAGAGGTATTTAACTATGCCTATTTTGTATATATATATGCCACATCTACTAAGGTCTCTCAAGCATGTTGTGTGTTTCCCTGCCCACTTTTAAAAGCTCTCCTGTTCAAAATCCTTTGCCATATATAGAAATTGGGATTACCTGGTTCGTCTGTGATTCATGAGGATAATATGTGTTCTGCGTTCCTTTATTCTGGCTTATTCCATGTTACCTGCTCTGTTTCTTTTTCCAGCTTTAAAATATGAATAGCAGCAAAGACTAGTAGTGGTTCAGTGGCTTCTGTTATACTTATTTTATCAGTATGGATTGCAGATTGCATTATACTTAGTTATAAATGTTTCCTGAAGGGAAAATTAGTCTGTATTAAGCTTTGTGCCACAGTGCTTTGATTCCTTCAGTTATATGTCTCCCCATATATTTGTACTAGACTCTATCTGGTCAAATAACTGAACATGCTAAGTACTGCAAAGAGGAAAAAATAAATGGGAAAGAGAGTATCTAAAATGAAGATCTGTAGGTGATATTCTTCTAAACAGTAATGTTCAGCATGTGCAAACCATAATCTTTTACCAGGATGAACAATCTTTAAAGAAGCTATGCATCATGAATCAAATTCAGCTGAGTAAATTTCTACGTATTTCCTGGCACACATCCTGGCAAATAGTTTACAGATATGAACTTCACAGACAAATGCAGAGATAGCACCAAACAACCAATACACCCCTTCACCCTCTATGGATAGCTTCTATGGAAGCAACCGAGAGCTCTGAATAGATGTGTTCATCACAGAAGAGCTGAGGTTGGAAGGGATCTGTAGAGGACTCATAATCCAGCTACCTTGCTGTTCTGTGCAGAGTCAAGTAGGTCCGGTTGCTCAGAACCTTGTCCAGCTCAATTTTGAATATCTCCAAAGGTGGAGATTTCACAGCGTTTCTAGGCAAGTTGTTGAGAATCATTTCCATTAAAAAACAAAAAACAAAAAACAAACAAAAACAAACAAACAAAAAAAAAAACCCAACCAACCAAACAAAAAAACCCAAGTTTAAGTTGAATTTCTTGAATTTGTATTTGACGTTGTTCAAGCTCAGTTCTGCATGTTCTTCTCAATATAACTAGTCCTTTCTTTGAAAAATATTCGACCAAGTTCAGAAGTTGTTCTGTACATTATCACAGGATAACAGTTCAAAATGACTACTGGAAATTTTTTGTGTTTAAAAGCTATATTTCTTACTATTTCTGACTCTATTATTGTAACATTTAATTCTAGCGTTTGAAATCTTTAACATCACATCAGGCTGATTTGCAACTACAGCAGGTTTCAGATCATTTTGAAATGAAATCTAAGACAATAGAAGATAAAATAGCTCATATCCATATTTCAGAACAACAGAAATCTCAAAAACTTCAAGAGAAACAAAGAGCCCAAGACACTGAAAAGGTGAGTGCTTACGTATTACTGAATCTTCTGGGAAAGTGTTTTCATAAGGTCATGTACATAATTCTCTTCTGCACCACTATGTTTGTAAAAAAAATAATAATAATGAAGAAAGGGTGTCCACTTGATAAGCATGAATGTTTAGCTATAAAGCCAACATATTGTTAGAAGATTCTTAATGACAGTATTTAAAAATTTCGTACTTAAAATAGACTGCATGTTGTCATGCATGAAAAATCTCGACAGACAGAATATAGATTTCACAGCTGGATGTATTTAAGGTGTACTTGTAAAAAAGGCTTTTCATGTATCTACACAAGAAAATATGAGCAATATCCCATAACCTTTTCAAAATGAATTTTTGGAATAATAATCCTTTTACAGTTTATATTTACTTTTGAACTTTCTTTGGATCTTTATAGGGAAATGCCTTTTCAACACAATTCTGCTTTTACCTTCATGTACTGTGTATGCAATTTAGCATAAATGCAATTTTTGTACTTGATCACCTGAGACTCAGTGTTGATTGGTAATATTGCCTAATAGTATGTATGTTTCTTAGTTTCTGATATGAATTTTACTTGAAACAAGTGCCAGACCAGGGCTAGCATTTAATATAACCCCTTAAATGACTCTTCGGCATTGAACACAAACTGCTTTTCTTTACAGATGTGCTTCTGTTATACCACACTCTTTCTTAATGCAAAGAAAATAACTAGAATAGAATATAGTTCAGCTGGAAAGGACTTACAGAGAACATCTGGTACAACTGCATGGATGTGCCTTTTTTTTATACTCATACTTTAAGACAATATGAAGACAACAAGCCTTATTTACGAAAAAGAAATCGTTTGATCAGTGATGTTTTTTTCATTATGAGTCAGTTAAATTAGTTACATTTACTTCATAGATAAATAGATGGTATATTAGAAGTATATGGCATGTATTGTTTCAAGTCAAGTATCTGAACACATGATGTTGAATATTCAGCATCGCATAGGAAGAAGACAAAATGAAATAATGGCCCGGATTCAAGCAGCTGTTATACAGGTTCCAAAGCCATCACTAAGCCACACCTTAAAAGCTAATGAAGCAAAAAAATTGCTAAAGAAGAAAAGAGAAGTGGAGGTAACTATATTTTGTTAAAAGTAGTTGTACGAATTTGGAAAAGGTTAGTTTTTTAGGAGCATTTACACTTAATAATTCTGTACTTGTATCACCTACTGTAACTTAAAATTGTACACTAGCCTCAGTCAGTGAAAATCTGGCAAAATATCTTTCTGACATTTGTTACATAGGAAAATTTTGTTTTGATGGAAGAGGAAGTTGTTACTGAATAAACTGAAACAGATTATTTTTAAAATAGAGTATATAAACAGCTAATTTAGTAATTATTAGGGACTAATTCAAGATACTAAATCTAAAGCAGAACATAGCACAGCCTATCTTGTTTTAAAAATCCCTGATTAGAGATAATATATGAATTGCTAGAGTCCAATGTAAGTTGACTTTACCCTGTAAATGGACAGCTGCAAGAACAGAATTTTGTATGGTGAGCATAGGTATAGCTAGTATAAGGGGGAATTAAATGGAAATGGAAAGTAAGAGAAGAAAACAGCTTTGCCTTTCTTTGTATCTATCTAATGCTTAATATGTTTTCAGTGTAAACTTTTTTCTCTTGAACTAATATGATGCAAAACTAATTCTCTATTATTCAATCTGTGAATAGTTGAAGCTCCCTTATGATGCTTTGTAACAAGAAAAGTGGCATTAAATTTTGTGTTATTTCTTTAGGACACTTACAAGGAGATTAACAAGTTTGAGAAGTCCATTGTAGGAAATGCTTTTGAAGTACACAGCCAAGTCATTGATAGGTAATATTTGAGTATTAGATTGTTAATCTTAGACAGGATCTTAACTGTAAGTGCCTGCTATCTATGCAGACAGCTACTTGAAGAGACTATAAGGTCTTTCTTCACTTAAACTGATTCTTCTGTGAGAGGTTTTTCACACTTCTGCTAGTGCTGTAACTACTCAAGCTCCACCCTCTGCTGCTATAGTGTTTTAACCTATAATTTTTGTAGGAATAGCTTAACCTTCCTTCTGTCCTTTTTACCATTTATATGGCAATAAAGGATATGAAGCGCATCTCTTATTCCCTGTTTATTACAATCGTTGAGTCTGTAATATCAGATGTGCAGAGAGTAGGGAATGGTTTTGGATGTACGTAGGCCAGCCTGAAAGCAATGCCTCCTATTTCTTCTTGCGGAAACTACAATAAAGAGCATGATAATACTATTTGATAGAGCAAATTCTCAGCTGCTGTTTTTCAACATAATCTCCACCATTCAGCTATGGATTTCTGCCAGTGATCAACAAGAGACTGCATGCTGTGTTTGCAAAAAATCTGCATGAGCAGAAGTGGCCCACTGCCACCAATGCTGAAATGCACCACCTGCTGCCTCACTGTGCCCACGTCCACTGTTTGGTCTCCATAAATGTTAAGCAAACTTTGATGGATATTAATTAGTGCATTTTATTCCACATGGAGGAATTAAATTGTATCTTTGTTTCATATATACTTCTATGTCAGATGCCATTTTGTCATATTGCCCCTCTGCTGCTATCTGTCATATGACTTCAGAATGTAACAGAATATTGGTGGGAAGGCTTAACCTCTACTACCATACCACCAATATCTATCTTTGACATTGTCGACCAACATAATAAAACAGAAGGCATTACTTTCAGAACAGTCCTCGTATATATGTGGAAATACATTTCAAAATAAACTTTTTCCTTAGAGTTTTATTGTATAAACAGCAAAGTAGATAGAATAGCCACTCTATCACCTTTAATGATACGTATACCATATTCTGAGAAGGTGGCATACTGCTGTAAATAAACACTTCTCTACAAAAACAAAACCTGATTATAACTATGAGAGAAAGTGCACTCAGAGTGTATGGATATATTTAAAGAGTAGCCTATGTTGCTTTGATATTCTGCAAATGATTCTAATTTTGTATTTCTGCAGAATTTGTTTTCTATATTAAATATTGGCAAATGAACAAATTGACAATCGGTTACATAAGGACTGGAGCTCTCCTATGGTCTCAGCAGTGATTGGTGGGTGCACAAGGGTCTCAAGGAGTAATCTCAATACTCACTGACTTTACTATTCAAGATAATTCTGTTGTGCATATGTTAGACTTGTGCCCAACTTCATGAAAATACCTCTAAAAAACTGTGAGTTCTATAAAGCCAGTGAACTTCTATTTCAATCTTTTATTTCTATTTTTTTTATCAGTGACATACAAGAATCATTTCAAACACAGAAGTTGCAAGAAACAACCCTAGAAACTACAGCACAGGCAGCAACTGAGCTGTTACCTACTTATTCAGATGATGAGTATGTAAGAAAAATTCAAAAACATTTGGAGGAAGATGTGTTTGCTAGAGAACAACGAGAAAAAAGACGTCGTAAAATGTTAATGGAACAGTTAATAGCACATGAAACAGAAGAGGTGAGAGAAGTATAACATACACAATTAGTAACCTAAATATTTGTTTGCAAGTACAAATCAACACTCTTTTGGAGGGCCTAATAACATTTGGAAGGTAGAAAAGGTGGTATGTATACTTTACCTCTGAAAAGGACTTCTATGCCTTGTTTTTTCTTGGAAAAAGGAAAAAGAAAGGAAAAAGGTTTTCCATTCCTTCTTACTACACTTGTGCAATACATTATCCTTGTAAAATGTAAAGCCTCAAATGAAGACAGAACTAAGGTGATTAAAAATCAGTTGTAGATCTGCCTATTTTCCTCAAAACAAGAATAACATTTGAACTTTAAATTATCATTATGTTTACTGGGTCTGAAGAAGGTATTTTCATTAAAAAACAACAAATGCAACAGTACTCACTTTAAAACCTGTATTTGCAAATGTGTAATGTAATATTTTTGTCTAGACTTTATGACTTTTGAAATCGTTGTGCAGTAGGATGTTTTATATACTTATGTTGCACATCAGAGCTTTGACTTTTGGCATATTATAGAGTAGAATGTGCGTCCTGAGAAGATGTCTCTACTCTCTCAAAAAATGGCTGTTGCAGATTATGTAATTTGAATCTTGTCCTGCATTGGGATAGACATGTAGAAGTCACAGTACTTCTCAGTATCTCTCGCACACTCATGTTCTGCGAAAAACTAAGAACACCTGTACTGGCTTAGACTAAGAATCTATTCGCACGTTATCTTTGAGCTCTCACAGACAGAAATTCTAGAGAATGCTCTTGCTAATATGCATAGATCATGAAGAAATTTTGCCACCCTAGTTGAGTGAAATCACTGTAGTGCCAAAATTTTCATCAGCTGTCACAGCCCCAGTACAACCCTAATAACCTGGACTAATGGTTCTGATAACCATTGACATTTGCTAAGTACAGCATAAAGCCAGCAAAGTGAGACAGAGCCATCCTGATGAGACAGCTGGTCCACCTCCAGCTGCAGTATAAACTTTGCCAGTTTGAGTTGAAGGAGGTGTTGCAATGTGCTTATTACAAGACTGTCTCCAGAAGGGCTCCAAAGCGGAGCAGAAGTACGGATACTGTCCCAAACTTCCTGGTAATTAAATTATTGCTGATGTAGAGACAGTAAGAGTTATAGACTGCAGGGATTAGAAGGAAAGTGAACAGTTGACCAAAACAGTAGCCTGATCAGCTGAAAGAATCACTTTTGTTTTATGACAGGAAGAAGTAACCAGTTGGAATTCTGTGAAAGTTCAGAAATGAAATATGGCTTGATTTAGAAAAGTGTGAAGTAATTTGAGGTTTTTTTTTTCTTTAGTTAAAGATTATTAATATTTTAATATTTTTTAATATTTATTTATTAAAAAAATAAAGTAGTTGAAAATATTTAAATAAATATTTAAATATTTAAATATAATTTAAATAAAAAAATATTTAAATATTCAACCAGAAAGCATTTGCAAGCTGAAACTGTGGTCACTGAAGTTAGAATTTCAATTATAATACATAAAAATTGAACACAGGCCATCAGATCATCTAGAGTTATGTATTTAATGTATTTCATTAAGACATGTACTTTATGTCTTCAGAGTGCTCCAGTGATTTTTCACGTCCATACAAATAAATCTCATCTAAAAGAATCTTGTTCCAATTTTCGAATCTTGGTACACTGTGAACTCTAATAGAAATATGAGCCTGGAAGCAAGAATACTTAAAAATTACATGGTGTTCCTTTTAGTGGAGTATGTTATGATACCAGGCAGATTTTTACAGACAGGAAATAGAAGTGTTTGAGAGTAGCATAGTTTCATCTTACCTGGATCTTCAATTTGCACCACTTCAACTAACTATTGTTCAAAGTGCTTGTTATTTTTAAATGTTTTGGTTAGATTTTCTCTTTGAATTTCAAAAGCTATCAGGAAATTACTTCAGCAATATATTGAGAAGAAGGAAATGGGAGAGGAAGTTAATTTTTACTAGATTATTTCTTGTCAACCAAATAGATTTATGTATGCAAAGTGGTAAGATTTGGTCATAAATCTTATGACAACACAAGACAGAATAGTTTCATTTGTGATTAAACTAAACTGGGAAAGGGAGAGACGGAATAATTTAACACATATCAGCATGAAACATAAACACAACATTAATGTTTGGCCACTGGATGCCACTGTTGTTTCAAGTAGGTTTAAAAAAAAGTGCATTATTTTTTAGAAAATTTTTAAATAGTTTCTAACAGGTCTCATTTACCATATTTATTAGTTCTTCAGACATATCAGCACCCTCTGTGGAGAAGTAGGTGTAAAATATTAGGTACAAAATTGAAACTACCATTTTTGTTTTGTCTTCTAGTTCGCATAGAAGTTTTGAAGTTTTTCAACCTTAGGTCTGTCACTGTTTGCATGCAAGATACCACTGCTTTACTCCCCCCATCCAATAAGAGCTGTTTTGAAATTATGTTAGGTGTTATGAATCCTAGTATCGCCGTCTCTGCAGATAATTAAGAGACATGTGGATGTGATTTTAAGGGACATCGTTTAGTGATGGGTCTTAGTAGATCAGGCTAGTGATTGGTCTTCACGATCTTGAAAGTCTTTTCCAGCTTAGACAATTCCATGATTCCATCTTTCTAATTTATCCTCTGATTTAATTCACCTTTCGAATTTCTTTATTCCTTAAACATTTCCTGCTGAGACTTTCCAAGCCTACTCTTTGTGTCAAAATATTCAATTATTTAGAATAATGTCAAAATTCCCTGCTCTCCAGTTAGCAGATAATCTTCCTTTTTCATTTGGAAAGAATGTATACTGGTAGATAAGGTGCTTTGATTTCTGATTGGGCCCACCACTTTGCACCTTAGAGTTGATGGATGGCTTCTTCAGTCCTCTATAAATTAGAATTTAAACATCCATCTCCGTCAAGTGGAGTACTTCTTGATGTAGTAATCCACAGCTAGGGATAAAATGCTGTCATAAAGAAAAGCAGAGCAGAAAAGTCTGCACAACCTCTATTCTTTTTTGAAATCTTAATGAAGTAGTTAGTCAGAAGAAGCAGTGGATAGAACTGAAGCAGCATGATGTCTCCTCTTATTGCCTGGATTTGATGAATATAGAAGACAAATGGGCAGATACACTATTCGGTAGGCAGTGCTATTGGTTGATTTGCTTACCTCAAATGTATCAAATGACACATAGCATGAATATGCAAATGCAAAGTGCATCTAAAATTGCTTTCCATTTTAGGGTTGCTGTGATGATACAAAAAGATAATGTACATAATATACAAATAGTACACTATGAATTAGACTCTCATTTTGCCATAATCTTTGTAGGGGGATAATCTTTGAGGCAGTTGAAACTCTGGGATTAAAGCCTGAGATGTCCACGTACTAATTTGTTCTCCATTAAAACTAGTGCACTGTCATGAAATACTGTGACAGGGAAGAAGAATGCAAAGTTTACATTTTGTCTAAAACAGTCACAGCACTGAGGGATTTTCCTATGTGCTTAGTCTTTTCAAGTCACTAGTATTTAATTAGAATATACTTTTTATAGCAATTACAGTGACAAAGGAACTCAAAAATATGGTTTTGTTTGAAAAATACTGTTTTCTCTCAGATGTCAACATTAAAGATTTAAATGTATTAAAAAGTTTTTGTTCTTATTGTTGCAATTAAAATAAACAGGGTTTGCTATTTTTGTTACAAGACTAATAAAAGTGTTTGGTTGCGTTGTTTATGAGAGATCTAGTTCTCTCTGTAGAATAAGTTGTTTATAGAAGTATGATAATATGCAACAAAGTTTGAATTTTCATTTTGAGGAAAACTTATAGAGTGTGTTCTACCCTCTCTCAAACACTAAAAGCTAATGAAAAATAAACATTAAAAAAAAATAGAAGTAATACTTTCTTTTGGTTTATTTTTCTTTCGACTATTGACTGGCTTTAACCTATTTCTCTGTTCTGAGAAAGATTAATTTGAACTTTTCAAATCGATTTCCAGTTTAGGTCCTCAAATTTGAAATTAAAATTTATAGCAGTTTTTTTTCTTTATATGAATCAAAATTCCAGGGAATCCAAAGTTTTCTTTAAAATTCTGCCATAGAAGTGATATTTAGCAATAGAGTTTGAAAGGCAAGCTGATGCTTTTGATTACATATCTGAAATAGTTCTGAACAGTGAAGATAGTGGAACTAAACTTTAGGTTTCATTAAGACACTTCAGGTTAGATTAAGCTTTCATTAAGATACCAGTGACAGCATGAAAGAGGTACAGTAGTGAAAAGTTGCTGTTATGTTTTACCAAGAACTTTGAAAAGTAATAATTCACAATCTTCACAGTACATGATGTACATCAACCATGCTTCAAGCAATGTTCAGAATGATTTTCTTAAAACATTGAGTAAGAGATTCTAAGTATGATACTTTTTCCCGTTGAGAACTCTGAAGCTGTTACCCAGGAGACTTGTATTTCCCTATATTTGGAGTGTTTCCCCACATTCTCTGTTTCTGGAGTGGGGGAGATAATTATCTGAATCCCAAGAGAAAAGGATGAAGTTCAAACCTGTAGAAGAGTAGACTTATCAAGGGTCTATCAGAGTATGGCTGAGAATGGGGACAGGTGGAAAGCAAGAGCAGATAAGTGAAACGACGACCAATTAATAATTCGAGGAATGGATCTATATTTACATTCAGAAGCAGTTTTTTGAAATATATTGCAATTTCTTTACAATTGTGTTATTCTGAACAAGTGTAGTTATGCTTGGTGTATCTGTAAGATGTATTCAAAATTCATTTCATTGTTCTACAATTTTTGTACATTTTACATAAACAATACTCGTGAATGCATATGTTATTCTAGATATAGGCATCAAATTAGCAAGTAAATGCTGTTGTATTACTTCATTCATATTTCTTATGAGATAGTGACGACTTGTCCATGAAATATTTTGTAACATGTCCTTAATGATATTTGTTCAATATATGTGATTTAGGAGATTTACCAGGAGGAACAACTTATTTACAAGCTCATGAGACAATCTCAGCAGGAGCGGAGGATTGCTGTTCAGCTCATGCATGTTCGACATGAGAAAGAGGTCTTAAAACAAAACAGAATTTTCAGGGAAAAACAGTATGAACAAAGACGACTTAAGGAGTTTCAGGAAGCTCTTGACAGAGAGGCGGTAAATAGTTACTTATTCCTTGAGTTGCTCTGGGAGCGTTACACTATCCACCTGTGGAATTCGCATTGTCAGCTGTTAGAATTCATGTTTTTTTAGGGGCATGGTGACCTAGTGATTAATATATCACTTTTAACTATGTTTAAAATTACTGCAAAGCTCGTAGTGGATGGAATTGAGCAATTTAGCATTTAACTGTGATCTTTTCTTATAAACTAATTTTAACCTTGTAGAACAACATCTCTGTGCTGAGATTAAAAGACTTTTGATGGGGCAAAATAACAGAAGTGATGGAAACAAAGTGGCAGAAAAACTTGTCTCAAGAATTATGTATTTCATTTTCTTTAATATAATCTCTAACATCCTCTCTTTTTTTTAGCAAGTGCTGGTAATAAAGAATTTCATTTTTGAGTACTCAATATTGTTGCCTTTGGGCTTGAAGTTTATTAGTAAAAAACAAAAAAAATAGAAGAATTCATAATCCTGGGGCGAACTGCCAAGTGCTCTGCCCCCAGCAGGCTATAATGTGTAGAAATGCTACTTTGCTTCTGCCAAAAACAATTGCCAGCTTTAAATTCTTCAATCCATCTAGTTTTATATATAATCAGAATCTATAGGTATTGATTACTACATTTTTTTAAGTACACTTTTGGCAAAAAGAAGAACATCGTCACACAAATTACTGATAATTCTCCACCAGGGCAAAAAATCTTTCTCAAAAGTCAAATGGTACCAATAATCTCAAATTATTTGCAGATCAGAATTTGTTAAGTTAAATTTCTTGTCACATGTTCTAAGTATTCCTCATGGTTTTCAGTGAAAATCAGCCTTTATCAATGCATCTGCACTGTTGTTCCTTAGGAAGAGTAGACAGCATCGTTTTATGTTTCTCTATCCCCTAGCACTGAATATGTTCTCAATGCATATCATGAAAGAAGAAATAATATACTTCCTTTATTTCATTATGTTTTCCTAGTTAGCATGCAAAAAAAAAAAAGGGAATTACCCAATGGATAGAAGTTTTTAGATTTCATTGTATGTTAATGATCACTGTCTCATCTCTGGTGAGGATCTGTTTTCATTTCTAACCTTTACTGAGCAAGTTCGTTTTCTTATCTATGATGGTGCATTTTTGCAGTTTGATTTTCTTTGCAATCTCAAATGTACCCTTTAAAAAAATTCTAGGCTCTTGCGAAACAAGAAAAAATTGATTGTGAAGAACAAATTGCCAAGGAAAGAGAGCATCATGAGAAAATTGCCACTGAAAGAGCTCAGGCTCGTTATAAAAAGCATTATTCCATATGTCAGGAAGTGATTGACCAAATTGTTGATTTGTCAACAAAAATAGGAGAATATCGAATGCTGACAAACAAGTGAGTATGGTAGCTGTTAGGCAAAACTAACAGGTGTTAGGTAGCTGTTAGATTTAGTGATTCATGCTGGTTTAAGCACCGGAATCTTTGTGTGATTCTCTCTTCTGACATGCCCCAGTGCTGCAGGTTTTCTGAGAAGATCCTAAAAAGGCAGCGACTTCCACGTGGCTGCCTTCCGTGAGGTGGAAGCTTGGGTTCTCAATTGCTCTCATTCTTTCATTAAGATTAAGTGATTAGACTATGGGGTAAGGCCTACTGAATAAGAAAGTGTGCCAAAAGTTCCTTCCTTTTGGTGTAATTGTGTACTAAATGATAAAACTGTAACCATATGTTTATAGTTTGTGGAAATTATCTAAATTTAGGGCCAGTAAGTACTTGATGAAGTAGTCACTGAAGACACTGCTTAATTATTTTTGAACAATAAATAGGTTATTTAAAGCTGTAATATGCATCTACAGCAAATACTAAAAAAAAAATCTAAAGAAAATCTAGTTCTATTCATAATAGAACATTTTGAGCATGTGTCAAATTAAAACAGTTATAGGATTTAGCATCTAAAGATGTCAGTGTCATGTTTGCATTTAGCAATAGCAATAATTGTTTAATTACTTCTTACTTCGTGCAGTTTGTCTTGTTTCAGATGAATATTTTTCCTTTGTAAAGGAAAAGAAGGATTTTAACGGTTGGTACAGTACTGAATAAATTTTAGCTTCCAGAAAGAAAACCAAAAAAAGTGTAGATTTTTGGTGAGGAGAGACTTTAACCTCTAGGTCTAAAATCTAGGATAGTATTTTGGAGCAATTTATTTAGGTACAGCAAAACTGTTACTGCACAGATATTGCTGTAACACAAGTAAGATGCCACAGTAAGTGTTTTTATGGTTTCCCCCCTAAAAAGCTGTAGCAATTACAGAAAGCATTATAAACCATATCTAGTTTAGCATATCCATATTTCATGATTGTGATTCTTATAAATTTGGGTTCACTGTTCTCAGATGTCTATCTGCTTTTATTTTTTGTTTTGGAATGCCTTCATATTTGTTTCTTTGTTTGTTTTCCACTGCAGCAAAGTTCCATTGAAACTGATCTGTGATTGGAAGGAATTATTTTTTAATGGAAAATCGATATATGAAAAAGCCTCAATTAAAACTTTGCCAAGTGAACCAAACTCAGAACAACTTATAGAGTTGAATAAAATGGATCTGTTAGATGAAAAAGATTATGGTGAATACAAGGTACATGAAACAGACAGTCCATAATGGAAAAATATAATGCACCTTTATTGTTCTTAATTGTAAAAATTTTGTTGTAATATTACATTTTCTTCTTTCAATAGTTTATTACATCAGAATTTGACATGCATTTTCTTTTCATTACATGAGGTTCTACTGGAAATACATGGCTCTTCTGAATGTTAGTAGCAGCAGAGAGTTGCTGCAATTTTAAAACATTCGAAACTGAATGCTTACATGTAACATTAATTGTATTTACCTACTGAGTGTGTAAGATAAACAAAGAAATTACTGTGCAATTGATTTTAACTAATTGGAATTTGAAAGTGTGATTCACACAGAATCACATAGAATTGTAGGGGTTGGAAGGGAGCTCCAGAGATCATCGAGTCCAACCCCCTGCCAAAGCAGGTTCCCTGCAGCAGGTCGCACAGGTAGGCATCCAGGCAGGTCTGGAACATCTCCAGAGAAGGAGACTCCACCACCTCCCTGGGCAGCCTGTTCCAGTGCTCCGTCACCTCACTGTAAAGAAGTTCTTGCGCACATTTGTGCAGAACTTCCTATGCTGCAGTTTCCAGCCGTTTCCCCTTGTCCTGTCTCCACTCACCACTGAAAAGAGACTGGCCTCGCCATTCTGCCCCCCACAGATTAATGCTACCACGTTTGAAAATGTGAGAAGAGACAGTCAGCAAAAACAAGTGAGAAGAAATACAGTGTCTATTATAAAACCTGGTAGTCTTAATCCAAGTAATTCTGAATAAAAGTTTTTTAACAGGAATTATTGATTTGGGTGATCTATTCTCAACAGCAGCTTTTATAAAAATTAGTTTAAATGGCTAATATTTTGGCAGATCTTCTGTTAGGATACAAAGTATCTTAAAGTGTTTCTTCAAGTTTATGATACTTTCTATAATTTTAGATGTGGAAGATGAAGGGTGAATATTTCCCTGTTATAATTAAAAACTATTCTATAGTATTTTCCAAATTACAATGTAGCTGATAGTTTCTTTGAAAAAAAAAAAAAAAAAAAAAAACAGAACAGAAAAATCTATTTAATACGTGTAAGTCATTGCAAATATCCTGTCATTTGAAGTTTTGGGAAATTATACTCACAATACGTTTGTGTTGTTACCAACTCCCTGAATCAACTGGTACATTTTTTTGCAGTCAGTCTGAGTTTTTGTGATCAGCTGTGGTAAACACCTGACAGCTGAGTTATCTTTGGTGTCAATCTTAAAATATGTTTTTCTGATTAATTATAAGCTACCCGTTCATACTATATAAACTCACATAATAAATTTAATAATCACTCTCTTTGGGTGTGGAAAAAAATGGGGAGAAAAAGAAAATTGATTATTTTCAGTCATATTATTATTATTTGTATTGCAGAATCTAGTAGTTTCTTTCAGTATAAGTCCAGTAGCGGCGTTAAACACTTACTGACACATTTCAAGCCTCTTTTTCAGTACCAGACTATTTCAAATGTACACTCAAGTACTTATTTTTTTTCCAGATGTTATTAATCTTACACTTTTCTGAATGCGTATTAGCCAAAAATAATACCTTGTGACTTGCATAAAATTGTTGGCATCAATCCACACTCATGTCAACTGAAAACCTAAGTGAATAGCAAGTATTTTCAGACTGTTCTATCTTGAAAATGTATTGTCTGGGCATTCTAGCAATGTTTATTATGATTTCTTCACCTAAGAAAAAAGCCAAGCACTGGCAGCCTGGCATGCCTCAAGAATGATAAGTTTTTAATAAGAGTGCTGAGTTAAAGAAGCATATTTGATAAAATAAAATAAATAAAGTATGTACTATCAGCCTGTTGCTGATAGTAATTCCAGATTAGAATAAGCCTGGAAATATTTGTAAATTACCATAACATCCATTATGCCTAATCACTTCATAAATAAATACAATTCATGAAAAAAAAAAAAAAAAAAAAAAAAAAAAAAAAAAGCCACACCAAACATAACAGTAGGCACCACCCAAAATATCAAATAATTTTCAATTTTCTTTGAGAGCATTAACCAGGAATTAGGTAACTCTGTCCTGGATACATGAAAACTTGTTTCTGACAGATAACCTAGTTTAACTAAGGACAGATATGGTCGAGCAATTTTCTGATTAGAAAGACAAGAAATTCAAAAGGTGAGTACTTCAAATAAGAAACCTACCCCATTTAGAATTCATTTGTACCACAGGTTGGATAGAATTTTTAAAAATTGATCTTTCCTTTTTCTAGGGAAAATAGTTCAGATAGATTAAGGATTTGAACTTTTTTAAATTAATCTTTTCCACAACTTATTAAGAAGTACATATATCTGAGATATTTTAAGGAGCAGATATTTTACAGCTCAGAAATATTTTTTTCTGGTTTTAACTGATTAAATATAGGTCGCATTTTCATTTAAAGTAGTAGTAAGTTACATGGTATTAATTTACCTAATGCATATACCTTCAAAGCAAACTCTTATTAGAATATATGCTATAGCAATATATAACTTATGTTTACAAGTTCTGAAAAACACATATTCTACCAGGAACATGAATGTGTATAATATATTTCAGTAGAACTTTGATGTTCATGGTAATTAAATATTTAATTTATGGAATGATAGAATAGTTTAGATTGAAAGGGAATTTGTGGGCATGTAGTTCAACTTGTTTGCTCAAAGTGGATCTGACTTCTGAATAGATTGCTCCTTGTATTTTCCAGTCAGCTATCAAATATTTCCAAGGGTGGGTCTCCCTGTGAAATCTGTGCCTGTTCTTATCTACTCTCATAATGAATTTTTTTCTTTTTTCTTTTTTTAAGTGGAAATTCCTTTACTACTACATTCCTTCACTCCATTTACTACTACATTTAGGGTGTACTTTATTGAATATTTACAATTTACAAATATTTACAATATTTGTTATTGTATAATAAAGTACACCTAAATGAACAAAGGAATCTAATTGGGAGTGGTAATAACACACGTATCTAGCAAACAGCAATCTACGGATGTGCCACTTAAGAATAACTGAAACGAAACTAGTATTTTCCTGCATACTAAGAGGCTCTTATTACAGCATAAACAGCACACGTCCTTCATAGTACTTTCCTAGTGGTATAGGATGCAATAATCCAGTGGCAAAAGATGTGTTAAATTTTTCTGACTACAAGCTTTTATTATCATCTTTCTCCAGCTACAATTGTAAGGAAAAGCTGTATGCTTTTAACTCAACCAGAAGCTTCTAGTATTTCTGTTAAGGTTTTTATGATTTTGTCTTGTTGGGTATTGTTTTGTTTTGTTGTCACTATTGAATGTGTGTTAGGGAGATAAATGTATTTTAAATCTTTGTACAAATTTTCAAAGACGTGCGTGCTATACTGGGCAATAATACTGCCCCATCATTGGAGTGCTGAATGCTAGGATAATGGGTTTATATTCCAAAAAGTTATAGCTGATTCATTCTGTAGTATTAGTGAGATAACTTTTCGTGTTTGTGGGATTTTAAAGAATTATTCTAGATTTTGTAAAAATGATTGTAGGAGTTTTTGTCTGTCATCTAGGTCTTAGTGAATAGCAGTAAATCTTAATGATTATGAAAATTACATCTTTTAACGAGGCTGTAATGTAAGAATATTTTAATATTAGTACTGTTCAGATTTGGTTATTATATGACTTTATATAATTACATATGTGTAGTAAGATGAAATACAATATATATTGCCTAACTGTTTGATAATTTATTTGCACAGAGTATGACAGGGGAATGGTGTCCAACTGACAAGAACAGAGAAAACATATCTCCTCTTAATAACAACATATTGGGTCATGTGCTTCATAGACTGATGGAGATTTTCTATCCTTCAAAACCCAGATCTTCACTGCCTATAATTCCTCCGTTTCACATCAAGGGATGTATTCTGGGAAAACCTTTTAGTGGAAAAACTACCTGTGTAAATTTTCTTGAAAAAGGTAGAGTTTTGTTTAGCTTTTCATCTGAAAGCTCTTAAAGTTGACTCTTACAATAAAGTTTGTTTTTGCAAATCCTTTCATTACTAATCCTTGAACCTCACATGCAACTGTGTTTTACTGAGGTTCCTTTCAAGTCATTCATTCATTATCTTCTAGAATAAGATTAAAAACAGCTGACCTCTCATATAATGTTGTTATAATATTTCTTCTGTATTTCTTGAGGATTTAAAAATGCTTTTGATTTCTCTGATAATGTTTGTGATTGAAGAGACTAGCAGATACATATATATAAGATTGTGAATGCAGTGGTTACAGAGAAGAGACAGTGGAAACAACTTATATGAAAAGTCCAAACAAAAGGAACTGTGCATTCCTTCACATATAATGATACTCTCCTCCAATTACTGATTTAATTTCATTAATAGTCTCTCTTCATGTATGCTCAGCTCAAACTATAAAGCTATCTAATTTTTGTATATATTAGTTTGCAATATTCAGGTCCTGTCTGTTGATACTCTGGTTCAGGAGGCCATCCAAGCTTTTCTTAATAATGAAATGAAAACTGAATACAACTTGATTTCACAGGAAGCAGAGAGCTCTGCCAAACAAAACAAGGTAAGTGTTCTTGTTAATTTTGGCTTTGGCTGTCTCAGGGAAAAGTGAGTGTATAAGGAAAAAAGTACATTGTTTCAATTTCTTACTCAATTTCAGACTTAGAAGTTTTTTCTTAACAGACTTCAAGGTTCATCTTCAACTGACAGATTTGTTTTCCTGTATTGTGTATTTTTTTTTCTAATCTATTTATTTTCTTAACTGACAAAAGGTTCAGAGGAACTTCTCAGCATCATCAATGACATTTCTAACAAGAACATCTGCTAATGGAACTGGAGGTATTTGTGTGTGTGTGTGCATATACAAATTTAAATTAAATTTCATATAATTTAATTCTTATTAAATTTAAATTACAATTCCACTTTCTCCTGTCGACTTCATGTAGAATCCATGACATCTGAGTTTTCAGAATAGTTGCCATTATGAATTTTGTGTTTCTGTGCGTTCCCACTGTTTGGGAGAAGCAAGTGCAAACTGCTCCACGCAGGAAAGTGAGCCAGGAGATGATGCCAATAATAAGTCTGGCAGAGCCAACACCTCATCAATAAAGAGTGAACATATTGACTAAAGAGTAAGATTCAGAGACATTGACCAGCATAAGCCTCAATCTGATGATAAATGTACTGATGCAGTAAATGTGAGATTGAGCGAGAAAGTCAAGCCAGCAGATGTGGATCAGAATCAGAAGTGCTAACATGGGTGCTGCGCTCCTATAATGCACCACAGACAGTGTCTAGGTTGAAATCTTCATTCTGAAAGCACCTTCCAAAGGAATGTGAGGCAAGCCCTCCGTTTCCCTCACTTTACCTTTCTTTACAATAGCTCTTAACAACAAAGGAACTGATATTGGGCTCAGCTACTAAACTCAGAATCACAGAATGGTTGGGGATGGAAGGAACTTCTGAAGGTCGTCTAGTCCAACACTTTTCAAGGAAGGTTCAGTATTATATATTGTTTAGCACTGTGTTCACTTGGGAGTTAAATTTCACCTAGGATGAAAACTCCACAATCTCACTGGGTGGTGACTTATTCCAATTTTCTTTAACTCATATAGTTCATATTTTATCATTCAAATAGAATCCAGTGTGTTTCAGTTTGTTTCCATTGCCTCTTGTCCCTTTTTCACTTGGCATCATTGAGATGATTGTGGCTCCAGCTTTACTCCACTTTACAAATTCCCACTCAGGATTTCTTTTCCTGGGCTGAATAATTCCAGCTCTCAGCCTCTCCCTGTGTATCAGATGTTCTAACATCTTAATAATTGTTATGATCTTTTTCTGGATCTGCTGCAATGTATCCAGGTCTTTCTTGCCTCTGGAGAGCCTAGAACTGGACATAGCATTCTAGATATGGTCTCACTGAGGCTGAGTATAGGGAAAGTACGATCTCCTGGTGACGATGCTGTGTTTCATGTATTCCAGGATGCTTCTGACCTTCCTTAATGCAAAGATGAGTCTCTGGCTCAAAATAATCTTGTCCTCAAAGGTCTTCTCTGCAAAGTTGCTTGCAAAGCAATTGGCCTCTAGACTTCCTTGCTAGTCTCAGGAGCCTGAGATTCCTGAAGGCAGGTTGTACTTGTAGAGACCAAGAGAGAGGAGACATTAAGTATCTCTGTCCTGTGCTCCAGTCAGCAGCAAGCTCGTGTTTCCACTGGTCTTCATTTTGCTGTGGAGATACCTATAAAAGCTCTGGTTTTGACCATGTGCAAGAAAATGTCTTTTTCCCATGAGAGCATTGAAACTGATTGTCTTTTGGTCATAGGACAATAATAAGACATGTATTTTTATTATTTAGCTATAGTAAGAAATATTACAGATGTGGAATTGTTAAACTTTCAAATGTACCTATTTTAGGTAACTGTTCTGTCAAAAAGCATCCGTCTGATCAGGAAATTGTATCAGACCACAAAGAGAATGACATATCTGAGGTTTGTAGTCCATTTTAACTACTACAATATAAAGATAGATTATTCAGAATAGTATCATTAAACAACAGAGTGGTGATACACTACACGTTTTGCCTTTATTTACTGACCTGATTGCAAATATTTTCTGTGAGAAATACCAAAAGAGATTTTGTAAAAATCTATTTCCATGTATACTGGTTAGAGTTAGACCTACAGCTGGAATTCTATGTAAGTGTCATCCTGTTTGATCTCACAATTATGTAAGATAAGGTACTTTCTATATAATTTCTGAATTAGCAGAAATGTGTTCTGAATGTTGCTGGTGCCACACAAATATTTCAATCCATTGCAAGGTTTCTTTTCTTTACATTCAAAAATAATTAATTCTACAGTTCTCTCAACTTTATTTTTCTTGCTGAAATGTACTTAAAAAGCAAGTAAGATACCTATATAAACACTGATGTTAAATATTGCTACAGAAAACTTAACTTCTAGCATTTTCTTAAGCCGTCAGAAATCAAACCATCACCGAGTTTAGAGTAGAACATTAGGACAAAGGCACTTTTTTTTTTTTTTTTTGGTTTTCAATTCAACTTTTCAGTTGAATGAGGCCTCTAACATCAATTAAAACTATATCTGGTAGGTAGATCATACAATAAACATTAAAAATAAATAAATAACACAATCAAGACTAAATATAATCAAGGAATGCAGAAGTAAAGTATACAGGTTGCTCCAAAAGTTACGCCTTCTATTTATTTCTGTAGAAACTATAATAGATACAAAGAACAACTAACTGATAGAGCAAATTCTGAGCTACAGAACACTATTTTTATGAATAGCCACCACCATTAGGTATACATTTTCATCAGCAGTGAACAAGAGCCTGCATGCCATGCTCAGAAAAGTCTGCACCAGTTATGGTGAAACACTAACACTTTTGCCACTGCTGAAACACCCACCCACTACCTTGCTGTGCTTGTGTACACTGTTTGGTCTCCATATATTTTCAGCAAGCATCAATGAATGTCAGTGGGTGCCAGTTTTTTCCACGTGGAGGATTCAATTCCATACCTTTGCTTCACATGCCTTTCCTTCCATGTCAAGGCACCATTTTGTCAGTGTGCCCCTCTGCTGCCATCTGTCACATGCAAACAAAATGTAATTGAAATGCTGGTGAGAAGGTTCCTATTCTATTGCCATACCACCACTATCTGCTTCTGATGTCATGGACCAACACAACAAAATAGGAAGCATTACTTTCAGAGCAGCCATCACATAATGATGTTCATTTTGACTGTGAGTGTTGTCAACATCCTGAGCTTTTTGTTCTTACATGTTCTTTTAACTGCTTTGCACTCCTCCACAGCTATCTGTACGTGCCCAGCTTGGCGCTGCATCACAGAAATTTCTGAAGAAAGGAAAAAGTATCCCTGATGAATTACTAGTTGACATCCTATTGGAAGCCATTAAGTATGAAATTATGTAGCTTTTCTCCCCCTTAATTACTTGGAATGTAATTATCAATTTTTTAGGACCAGATTCAGTCATTTCTCTTTAGTCAGTACATTAGTGGAAAATTGGAGTGTGCTATGGGAAAGTGGGACTGATCAGTGATTTAATGCTCATTTGAAAGAAATAGAATCCAGCCCTATATTTTAAAAGCATTAGTGTACACCATTGCAGTAAGTAAAAAAATAAACAACTATCACATAGTCATTAGATGTAAGTAATGTCTATATTTTGTTTATCAGTTTTCAACTATTCAGAATGTGCTAGTATTTTTTCCTCTAGATTTAATGTGAGATACATAATACAAGCATTCATATTTCAACAATTATTTGTTTTTTTCTCTTCTTGCATTACAGAAAATTATCTCAAATATGCTCATATGCAATTAGCTCTTAAATTCTCACACGGATGTCATTTAAGTTATATTTACTCCCATTTGTACTTTAATGTTATAAAACAGTTTTTACTACTTGTTTTTTCAGTGCAGAAGTTGGCACTTTTTGAAAGCAATGAAATTATGTCTCTGATCACAGTACAGCTCTATAAAGATTGTTTTTGAAAACTATCAAGAAGCAAATATTGTTCTGTTTATCATTTTTAGCTCCTTTTCATGCAATTTCTGCCATAAAGTTCATTGTTTTGCTATTTTGATCATGATGCTGTCATTCAGAATAAACTACTAGGACAAGCTCTTCCTTAGGCGTTAATTTTATGCTATCAGTTTTTCTCTGCAAATGTCATTTTTCGTTTATTTTTAGCCACACACCACCAGAGAAGGGATGGATTCTGGATGGATTTCCAATGACGATTAATCAGGCAAGGCTATTTGAAAAAGCCTGTACAGGGATTGATTCAGATGAAACGGAAGCAAAATATGTGAACTGTGGAAAGCTCTCACTTGTTACAAATCCTAGAACTCCTAATGAGCCTCCTGTTGCCATACCTGCATTTGATGTTTCTGTATTATTGGATATTTCAGACATCACAGTATTGAAACGATTGGCTAGCTTGAAGCGTAAGTTTCTATCTACATTTAAACGAAGTCAAATGAAAAGCACATTTTTATGTAAGGGGAATATGAAAATTGTTATAAATATGGAAGCTTCTGAAATGTGAGTACTTTGCAATATGGTAGCAATTTGTGTATTTTAATTTAAACTACTAATATTTGTATTTTTTTATAATTATGAAGTTAGATTTTTTTTTTACTCTTATTTGTAAGACCTCTTTTACCTTTGTTCGCTTGTCTAAAGATGTATGACTGAATATAAGCAACACATTAATTCCAAGCATTATTTCAGGTTTTATTTGTACTTAACAATTTTAACCTTACATTATGCTAATTCAAACAAAATAGCATTATTTTGCCATTTCTTTTTACCTCATGTAATCTCATCCATTCATTTTGAAATATCATCCTGAGTGCTTCCAAGTTATCCTGAATACTTACGTTTGTTTCAGTCAAAGGCAGATTATAAGTGTGCAAGTTCATGTGTGTGGGTTTTTTCGTCCTGAAATTTCACTGAAGCCAGGGTAGCACAGTGGTTAATGTTAACTATCATATGAAGAAACAGTTGGGAAAAGTGTAACTTACAGCAGCTGCAGAAATATTACTCATTCCAAATGAGCATGTCTAATTAGTGTTTTTCTCCAGTGGATACATTTGGAAAGAGACATTAGGAAGAGTAAATAAAGGGATGTGCTAACTTTTAATTTGCTCAGAAATGCCAACATTCATTCCCCATTGATTATTGCCTTTGTCTTGTCTTAGTCAATGAACAACCAAAAATAGTTGATTTTGGACAAAAATGGCAAAAGCAACAAAGGGTTTTTGAAAGCTGTTTTATTTCTGGACTACTTATTTTTCATTGCTCTCACTCATCTTGGCAAAATACAAGTTCTTTTCACAAATATTTACCATATTGTCTAGATTATAAGGGGGTTACTCTTCATTGTTTTCACTGCAGCACTTACATAGCACATGGCTTGAGCTGAACATTGTTTTGCTTTTATATGTTGGCGGAAATGAGAATGATGCAAATTGTTGGAGGTTTTGCTAACTATACCATCAAGATGTATGTATTAGCACTGATATTCATGTTAGTTTTAAGACATTTTGTGCCAAAACATCTTTAAGATGTGATACTACATGATATAGTCTCAGGAATCCAAAAAAGATATTGTTTCTTAAGATGTCCCATGGTCATAGAAAAAGTCATTGAAACAAACAAACAAAAAAACACATCAGAAATCTATAAAAAATTATTTCTAATAGATTAAAGTGTTGGTATTATTTTTTAATCTTGAGAAGTCTCTGAGATAGAGGATACTTTTTCTTCAGATACAGTAGTAAATCTATCCATTCTGGAAACGAGTAGTTACTAAAAGAAAGATTCAGGTTAGACTGGAAAAAAAAAACAGAAAAGCCTTCAAACTGTAAGAATATATATGCCTGAAACTGCCCACCCATCACATTTCTACAACTACAGCTTTCTATGACTGCAAAGTATCAGTTGGGAAATGTATTGTTATAATTGACTTTGCATTCAAACAGAAGTCTCCGAATTCTTACCCAGCTCTATTTAGTAATTCTCTGATTTATTTCTGTCCTTTCCTTTCTTTGAGAAAGCTTTTAAATTTTTAAGGGAAGAGATGTAACATCGAGGAAATCTAAAAGCTTTCTTTTAACGTAGTTATCTTATTTAGGTCCTGTAGCTACCTTTTCAACATATGTTCATTTATGCTGTTTTCCTCAGCAGATAAATCAAAGTCCTCTCAAACTGAACAGGAGGACAACGGTCAAAATTCAGATGTTAAAATCGTAGAAGAGATGACTGACTTAGCAAGGGACCAGGTGCTGCATAGGTATGTTATATTAAGTACAATAAAGTTACTTCAGCCACATTATTAGGCATGGAATTAATCTGAAGCTCTTATGTGATCTACGATTGCACTATGAGTGCCTTATATTAAGATCTTACTTAAGAATTTCTCTGACTGAAGTCTAAGAGGTGCATAGATTTTTGGTGCAATGTAAATAATCTTAGAAATTAGGAATTCTTATGTTTTGCTTTTCCAAGGTATTTTGTCAAGGAAAATTTCTTTTCCAGGTATGAATTGAAAAAATAAAATATGTATATATGTATGTATATATGTATGTACTTCAGAGAACCTCTCATGGTTTTCTATATTTTATTCTATCATTAGATTAAAAAAAATTATAATGCTATTGTTAAATTTTGTGTGTAGAGGAAAATCAAGAGCAGCAACTTTAGCTTTTAAATCATAGGGTCATAGAATCATAACTCATTCAGGCTGGAAAACAACTTAAAGATCATTGAGTCCAACCCAACCTAACCATACTACTCTAACTATCAACCCTCTGCTAAATCATGTCCCTGAGCACCACATCCAAACAGTTTTTAAACACATCCAGGGATGGTGACTCAACCACTTCCCTGGGGAGCCTATTCCAGTGCTTAACAACCCTTTCTTTAAAGAAGTTTTTCCTGATATTCAACCTAAACCTCCCCTGGCGCAACTTGCGGCCATTTCCCCTTGTCCTGTCATCTGTCACCAGTGACAAGACACCAACCCTGCTCTCTCTGTAAGTACCTTTCAGATATTGGAAGAGAGCAATAAGGTCTCCCCTCAGCCTCCTTTTCCCCAGGTGAAACACCCCCAGTTCCTTCAGTCTCTCCTCATACACATATTCTCAAGCCCTTCACAAGCCTTGTTGTCCTTCTCTGGACCTGCTCCAGCACCTCAATGTCTTTTCTGTACTGAGGTTCCCAAAACTGAACACAGTACTTGAGGTGAGGCCTCACCAATGCCGAGTACAGGAGCAGGATCTAGTCCTGCTCACCTCTCCATTTCTGATACAAGCCAGGATGCCATCGGCCTTCTTGGCCACATGAGCACACAGTTGCTTTTAAATATTTGATAATATTAACTAGTTTAGACTATCATATTATTGGTTATAATTATTTTAGTCATGATGCAAGAAAACATAGGCTTAACTTCTGATATGAAAGAGTAAGAGCTATTTTCTTACTCTGAGGGGGTTTATGTCGTTGAAAATTTAAATATCTTCAAAAGTACTGCCTAGATTTGCTTTAGTATTGTATAGTATTTAGTATTTAGGTTAGATATTGTGATCTTTCCTTTGTTTATGGGAAAATATTTTCCTGTAGTTATTTCAGTTGTTCTATTTTAGAGGTATACACCAATATGACTTTTGCAGAATTTCAGGCTTCCTAGACACATGGCCAGAATTAGAGAACTGGTTTTCAGACCATCAAAACACTCTAGTGAAGGTCAGTGCAGAGACAGAAGAAAGTATTGTGTGCAAAACTGTAAAGGAAATTCTGATTGAAGAAATTGACAAAAAGCAGAATAAAAGTAAGTTTTTCCCTTTCTACTTTTTACGGTTCACTAAGAAAAGACTGTTTTTGATGGATAACACTAATCATTAAAATATAAAACTATGTGGAAAAACTAGCATTTTCACCATACCTACAAGGCTTCAGGGATTTATGAGTTATTGATAACTGCACTGGAATTTTGAAATTTTCTGTCGTATTTTTTACATTTCACAGGATATGGACCAGTTTCACATGGCTATAAAGATAATTTGAGAAAAGATTTCAAAATATTTAAAATAAACTGTCAGTTGGATATATTTAAATTCACTGAAGAATTACTAAATTCAGTCATTTCTTCCAGATTTAAATATTACAGCTAGCATCAACACTGTGTGGGATAGCACAATGACAAAGGAAGGATAATTTGCCATTATAAACATATACTCATTTATCAGAAATGTAAAAACATGGATAACTCAGTACGCCGTGTTTGCATCTTTTGGTGCATCTTATTGCATGTTTCTTCTTAATCCATGCAATTAACATATGTGCATACAACCCTATACAACAGAATCATTTAAAAAGAAGGGAAAAGGATGAATTCCAAAGAAAAAGTTGTATCCAGTAAACAAGGATTAGATTTTTAATAACTCTTTTCTTCAGAGTTATTAGAAGAAAGACTTGATGTGGCCTTCACCACATTATTCTTTCTCAATCTCACATGGAAACCATGCTTACAACTGTTTCTTAATTAAGCAGTGTCCTTGAAATCATGATAGTTTTAATGAATCTAAGAATTGTATCAACACCAATGACTTTGCTTTACCTGGTAAAGAATGCTTTGAATAATCATACTAATTCACTATGTTACTGTTTCTCTCACAGAGATGGTTTTGGAAAAGTAGCAATCCTGCAAAATACAATCTAACTGGAAACAGATTTCTAAAAACTATGGCATCACATAATTGCTCAGCATATGTTCTTATGAAAAATACACAAATGATGAGACTCTGAATCTTTATGTTAGTCTGAATTTGTCAGATTAACATAAATATCTATTTCTGTTTACTGATACTTAAAATAATTATGGAGGTACTAATTGTGTGTTCATACACAAGGGTCTGTACGAGAAAAATCACCAGACGAAAAGGCTTTGCCAGTTAAACCTCAAGATCTGCTTTCTCCTATTCCTGTGACACCACTACTGATTAAGCCAGGAACGGGTGAATGGATTTATGTAGATGAGCCACTTCCCAAGGTACCTTCAGGGTTAAAAGTCTTAGATATCAAAGTATATATTTACCTTTATGTTTTATGCATATTCTACCTAAACTTTTTTTCTCAGCACATTATTTTCTTAAATATTTTACAGTGAAAAGTACACTAATGCTGTGTATTTGTACTAGAAGTACAAATACTTTTTCGTACCAAAATATATAAGAAAGAAATACACTTGAAAATTTTGATCATTGCCTTTTGCTAAGTTCTTCACAGTGATGTTGAAGAACAGTGCACAAAGGCCAAAACAAGCTTCCTGGAGTCATGTCATGACCCATCTACTCAGGTTTCATGACCCATCTACTCAGGTTCTTGCCTTTGGCGGTGGCTGGGCACTGGTCCTGCAGAAAGAATGTAAGAATGGCAAGAGTGTGCACTGATATTTCTCCTAGGATACTTTCCTCTAACACTCTCCAGGACATCTTTTTATCTGCTAGTAAAGTGAAATGTATGGGATTCCCGATGTAAGTTTATAGGTACATCTTTGTATTCAGTAAATCTCAACAGTATTTTTTTCCATGATTGTCTTTTCTCCTTTTTTTTGGAAGCAATTTACTTCATAGTCTCCGCAGTATAGTGTTTTTATGTGATTATTTAGTGGTTTTATGATTTTTGGTTATCAGTGTTCCACATGATAATATCACATGGCACTGGGCATTAAAGAGTTAATGCTCCAAATCCAGGCACCTGTCTGAAAGAGAAGAAGAACTGCATACCCCAGAACACCTTGCATTTAGAGAGGAGATATCACCTCTGGCAAGGTCACAAGACCTCCCTTTTTTTTCAGCTCTCCTCCCTGCTGCTTGACCCGACTGTGCATCTCACCTCAGTTTTATAGCAAGACCTTTCCACCTTTTGGACTCCCTCTCTCATTATAATTGATTTATTAGCTTCAATTCTACTTATATCGTAGTATATTGTATTATAATGTGTTATCTTACATTCTGATATACCATATTTAGAAAATTAGTTTGTTTCTCCTCAGATCGCTGCCATTGTTTTTAATAATTTGGAGCCCCCTATTTCCCTTTCCAGAAGTGTGGATTCGTGAATCCCTTCACCCTGCAAGTCACAGAACGGGGCCAAACCAACCCATAAACTGTTGACATGTGGCCTGTATAATTATGCTTTTTATGAAGAGAAAAGAAATAACACTTTGCTTTAAATCTATTTTACTTGGTTTACTGGATGACCCTAAGTTCTTGTATTGTGTGATTCAATGAATAGTAATTCTGTATTCACTCTGTGAAATTATTTGTGATGTTACAGGCATCTATCACATACTCCTACTTCATTTTGCCTCTGCGATGCTTTTCAAATCAAGACATAATGTTAACTCTACTCATGCAGAAATGATTCCATATATTCAGTCATGATTTTTGCCTTTTGGTCTGTCTGTTCTAGCTTTACTGATTTTTTAACTTTATTCTTTTGGATGGGGAGATGGGTCTGCATGCAGTAACTGAGATACAGATTTGAAGGATTCTTAATGATGCTTTGTATTTTGTTCTGTATTCTGTTCCTTATGTTTTCCAGTTTTGACTTTATGACTGCAGTTAACTGGCATACTCTGAATCACCTTCTGAGTGATTAAAGTCTGCAACTCATCTTGTTGCCTTTCCACTTGTCATGCATTTCTTTGGCATTTTTTGACAGTCAGTCAGTAAAATGTTGCTTTTGAAACACTCAACAGTCACTCTTAATTTCTACTAGTTTAAACAGTCGTGTACTGCCTAACAACTTTCTGAATTTATGAATCTATCAAAAAACACCGATATCAGCAGTGTTTTTGGGGAACTTCCTATTCATCTTGAATACTGCCACATTTTTTTTTCAAAGAAATGCACAGGGTAACTTTCTGTTGGATAAGTTTATAATAAGTTGTTGATGATTCCAAAACAAAATAAATGAAAGAAGTCAGTAGTCAGTAGTATGATATCATGAAATAATCTGTTATTTGTTAATGATATATCTAAATGAGTTGCCAAGAAATGTATTGATTTTGATGTTTTTTAAAATATTCACAGGAGATACCTGATTTTTTAGTACCTTACTGGGAAATGGTAGAAAATGTGTATGTGAATACCATCAAAACTGTACTTAGATGTCTAAGGGATGAACAGTACTCCATGATACATTATTTAGCAGATATTAGGTGAGTAGAAATAGCTTAGTATTTCAATATCCATATTTTATATTTTTCCTCTGCCATTGTTTTGTAACATTATTTTTGCCATAATTTACAGAAAAAATTTCCAAGATTATTTAAAGCATCCAGATCATAAGCAGGAGTTTGTATCCCAGTGGCAATCAGATTTTAATTCAGTTTCTGATGACCTGAGGGAAGATGAGGAAACAAAAGCAGAACTACACCAAAGACTGACTGTAAGTAAATTGAAGAAGAAACAATAGGACCTATGAAGCACTATCCTTGTTAAAGCAAAAAATGGAATGGAGCCTTGTAAATAGAATAATGTTTAAGCTATGACTTAATTTCTCAGAATTGTTTGTATTGCATATCCCCTTTCTCTTTATGTTTGCATTTATTATCAAACCATTTAAGTGGAAGGTCGCTGACACTGTTATGAGCTTAGCTATTTGTATTCTAATTCTATGTCTAGCTTCAATAGCTCTCTGCCTGGGAAAAGCCTAACTCTGTCCTCTATGTTTATCATAGACCTCTGGATTATTTTGTCAGATTCATTTGTAAAGCTGTTTTCTGTCATCTGTCTGTAATCATAGAAGTCTTGGACCAGGCTTTGACATTTATAACAATTTAGAAAAAACAACGCCTACAATAAATGAGTGTGTGTCTCATGCACAGGCAAAAATATAGTTTCTAATAGTAAAAAAAAAAAATGTATTTACAGTTTTTTCGTAGTTATTTCTCATATTTTATTTTTTATTTTAGGATTTAAGGGATCTTCTGTGGGATATCTGTGATAAAAGAAGGGAAGAAGCAGAGCAGGAACGTACTGATATCATGAATGATGGCTGGTTGCGAGATCATAAGGGGATTGCAATAAACCATTTTTTTTCACTTATGCAGGTAAGGTACAGAGCTCTACTATGGATTTTGCAATTGAAGGAGACAATGAATTGGAATTGAAAGACAGTAAGCCTCAGAGGAGTTTCACGCATTTGGCTCTGAATATGTTAGGAATCAAGAATTAGATGAGCAAATGTTCATGCTGCTTCTAACTCTGCCTAGAAAGCCTAGAGATATTTAGTCTAGAGACCAGGATGGCATTAGATGGCATTCATCATGTTTAACCATTTAATAGGCAAAAAACTTTAAGAAAAATACAATTACTGTTGTCCACTGTCAAGCATTTTCAATCTGTGATGTGTATTGCTGCTTTTTGAGTTTTATCAGTCCAGTGAATGTTTTGAGATTTGTAACAGAGATGTTAGAACTGTTTATACATCCATAATCATATTTACATCATATCCGTTTTGTGGATTACAAAATTTACTGCTGTTGTAGACCTCCCTACTGTTCAGGTTGTCTTGTATTTCCCAAATCAAAAAATTCTATCAGTTGTAACTTGAAATTTTACCTACTGTCTAAAAAAAAAGTTGCAAGGAGTTTTTTGGAGAAAATCATGTTTGTTTTCCTTGATAAAATTCATTCAAATCTTTCACAAGTTTTTAATGAAATCATCTTCACTTTGTTAGATCTTTCCTTCCCCACATTATGCCTTTCCTCTCATTCAGCGAGACCATGAATTACTTCAGTTCTTGAAGTAAAGTAAGATTTATTTTTCTGTGACTGCATAAATTAGGCTTAGGGGTGGAATGCACAAACTTGTCTGTAAATGGAGTGACCTTGTTGTGAAGGTTTGGGCAACTTTAAAGGAGGCAATGAAAAAAGTGTTTTAAATACATGCCATGCTATGCTAATTTGGTTGAAAAATCAGGCCTAACCACTTCTGGCTTAACAATCAAGGGAGCCACTTTTTTATCTCAGATGTGTGTTGGAGTAATCTGAATAAAATTTCTGATACATTCATCTGCAATAGCATGGAAATTATTAACTCTGTTTTAAAAGAGCCTAAATAATGCCATAAATAAAGACTAAAACAATAGGGTTTATTGTTTTACTATATATCCTTACTATCCTGTAATTTATATGATTGTCTATTTAAAAACTTTATCTTAACATATGAATAAGTAAGTGAAAGTAAAATAACATCACAGTGGCAGAAAAGCCATTTGAGATGACTAATGTGTTAAAAATACATAGTAGTTATGTTTTCCCTCCCTAAGAGGCCCCTACTTTTTTATTTTCATAACAGTACACCATAGTTCCCCAAATTAAATAATTAAATGAATAATTAACGCTGAAAATGCAAAACTAAAAATGTAAAATATATGTTATGGTTTTGTTTGAGAAACGGTCAGAAATAGGCTTCCTTGGTCTTGAGATCTCCTTTTGTGGGAAGTTAAATGTATCCCCCACGTGGTTCTGTTACTGTATAAACAATAGATTTGTGTAAATTCTACTTAAGAACATCTTAACTTTAGTAAGGTTAAATCAGATTACTCTCCACCTTTCTCTGTGCACTGTAATAGAAGATATTTTCTTCTTTGCTTATGGATAAGAGCTGCTTTACACCACAAAGGTTTTATTCTTTGTTTTGTGAATGTGGTTTTGTGCATTTTCCCATGAATATTTTGTACTGTTTTGGCAGTTAGATGCTAACATTTGTCTGTATCAATAAATCAAAACATGACAGGTGTTAAATGTTTTTTGAATCTTACTTGATTTCTCCTGAGAGAATTTGCAGAAAAAGGTCTTCGAGATACTTAGCTCATAAAACCTGTTGATCTCTTTGACAAGGATAAACTGTATGACCTTTTACACTGTCTTTTCCATCATTTAACTCTTTTTATGAGTTAACTCTTTTTTTAATGTTAACAAGGATTTTGATTATTTCAAATGAAGCAATTTCTATAATTTTTTTGTACTTGTATGTACTTGTTAGTATAGAAATAAATATAAATCCAAATATATTTAAATTTAATGTGTTAAACATTATTTATTGCAAATATTTTTCCTATTCTAATGAGAATTTTATTACTGTTGGAAATTCTTGTGTGAAAATTAAGAAAGTAAATTTGTGGACATTGATGTGAGTAAAAGTGTGCATTAAATACAGTATAAAAATTCAAACAAATGTAGTTGTTCATTGTTTTCCCCATTACTCTTACTATTTGTAATTGCTTTTGCCACTATGTATTTAAAAATGTAATAGAACTTGTTTTGAATTTCAGTCTTTCTGTCTTTTCTTATTGAGGTTGAAGTGGATCGTTTTCAAGATACAAAGAGACTTCTTCATGACTACTACAGAGCAATGGAAGGAAAAATCCCAACAGAAGACAGACAAGTTTTTACTAGACTCCCATTGCTAGATATTGTCGATAAAGAGCAGAAAGAAGATCAGAATGAATCAAGAAGGTAGAAATACACTATTAACTGTACAAATATCAACAATTATAACGCACTCATGGCTTTGTGGGTATATGTGGAAATAAATGCGGGCATATTTCAAAGAATGGGGAAATAAGATTGTTTAAATAGTAATTATAGTTAAATAATTGATCTTGTATCATCTTATAGGATTCATTTATTCTTAAATTTTGACTGATTAAACCTAATCATTTTCACTAGTACATCTCTGAATTATAAAGCATTTTGAAAGCTGCCTTAGAAAGAAATTTGCTATAGGAATATTTCCTACTTTACTCAGTATTGCTGATGGCTTTCAGCATAGTTATCACAAAACTAAGCTAGTATTATTTTAGAACATCAATAGGCTTTAAATTTGCACAAATGAACATAATTAAATTACTCAAGTAACAACAAATGTAAATCAGAACATCCTAGGAACAGTAGTTCTACATTAAAAGTAAGGGATACTCTTAAATAATTTCAGAATATCAAAAATTCCATCAACAGTAAAACCTTTTGCGATTACTTACAGTTCATTTAGAAAGTAATGAGGTTATGCTTCTAGCTCATTTGGAATATATCATCAAATCACACAGTCATTTGACTTAGTTCTATCCATCCATTTATCTCCTTATCTTCTGTTTTTAAACTAGCCAACTTTCCTGTCATCCACATGTTTTACCTCTTTTGGTCATAAGTCCGTCCTTTTTCTGTTACTACAGCAAATTTTGCAAATAGCATTCTCATTGTCTTGACATGTTCTCTAATGTTGTAACAAATTACCTCTTTATGAAAGGGGAATGTGATTTACGCCTTGTATTTTATTTTTCAGAATTCCTCTAGTTCCTTATAACCTGCCTTCACCAGAAACAAATATTACCAAATCAAAAAGCAAGGGAACTCTACTGAAGAGTGTTAAGGATGAGAATTCTTCTGAAAATGTAGTGGTTGCTTTTGGGAAAGATGAAAATGTTATTTCTGATACATGGCAAACAGCAGTAACAGCAGTATCTGATATGGTAGGGACTGTTTTATTTAAATAGATATCTATGGATAAAACAGTAAAGGCCTTCCATTCAGCATGCATTACAATGTGTATGTTAGTTTCACATCTAATGCTGAATCACAGAGAGTTTTCAACTAGCAGTGGTTATGCCTCAAATTAACGTCATCCACTATATTTCCATTGAAAATATTTGCATTTCTGTATGAATGGTGTTAAGACCTGTATATTAAAAGATCTGCAGTGCCTTTGTATTTTCATTCTGAACCCTATCAAATACTTTGAATGTTGGTTTTATATATTTGCTTTTTCCATGATAATCTTTTCCCTTATTCCTCAGTAGAAATAGGAAAAGGACATGTTTAATCATGGGATGCGACTTTTACTCACAACTTTCACAACTTCAAAAGCTGTGTTAACATTCTCTTCTATACATAATTTAATACAACATGTTGCTTTTCAGATCGTTGGTTTCAAGGTTGTTTTTTTTTCATTTTGGTCATTTTAAAACACACAGACTTTTGCACTCTTATAGTAGCTTACATTCTTAGATTTCACATCTGATTCTTATATTTCACACTTTTCCCTTCAGTGAAGTTAGTGAGGTTACAAGAATTAGAACTACTGTTATTGTGTTTAATTTTTTCAGTATAATTTTATTTTTTGATAAATAATCATAACATAATCAATATATTACTTAAAATATCTCTTAATTATATATGTTTGTCATAGCAAGTAGTTGCAGTAAATTTAGTCTATCTAAAACAGTAATTGCATAGTATTGATAACATTTATTTGACTGTGTGAATATGGTGTATAGGTAAGAACAGAAGTACAGTCAAAAGAAGTGAAGGAAGAAGGAGAAAAGCAGCTACAAGTGAAAGAAGATCTGAAGTCTTCTCAGACAATGTTAAGCAGGTCTACTGGGAAGGATGCCAAAGACACCAAAAAATCCCCCAAATCACCTACTAAAAAGAAAGGTATTTGAAATACTGACTTTGTTATAGGACTGCTTGAAATTACTGAAACATAGATACGACAATCATATGAAAAGGGATAACCTGTGACATTTAATTTGCATTTAATTTTTTCCTTGAAATTTTAAATGTGATATAAAAGTGTGAAAAGTTGATAGTCATAAAGGAATGCAAAAGCTGTTAAATGACTGTTGGGTTTCTTTAGTTATATGTGATATTGTTGCTATTTTTTAAGAATTAATGGTCAAAATGGAACTTCGAAAGTTGATATGAAATCTTTCATGCGGAATTTCATGCAACCTTCAAAGCAACATAATAAAATAATACCTTTATAATATCTATACATAGCTATGTAGGTTAAAGCAAGATTTTCTCCAGAAGGAACACCTATCACTCAGAGCAAGCTTGTTTATATGCAAGTTGTTATAAAATGGTAAATTTTAAGGTGAAACCATCTGTTTTGACTCACGACAGAGACAATTGTATTCAGCAATGATATTCCATTCAGAAATACATTTTAGAGAGCTGTTTTAATTTTTTTAATTTTTAAAACAAATGAATATGTTGGCGTGGTTTTATGCAGTCTTAGCACGTCTTGCAAATGTAGATCATATGTTAAGAAATCTTCCTGCTACATTAACAGAAGCAGTCTCAGTAACCTTGTATCTGTATGCTCATGAAGGATCATATCAAGTAAGATGGAAAGTAACATTTCAAAAATGTCTTATGAGTGCCTGTGTGCAGACACAAATTTACCACCAAAGTCCAAAGATTTTGAGGGAGACTATTTTTTTTGCAGGACCTTCTTCTACTGCCTCAGCAACTGAAGGCAGTCCAGTTCCTTTAACCTCTGAAGAACTGAAGAAACAAAAACTGACACTTAAAATACAGCAAGAATACTTTGCTGCCCTGAAACATGAGGGTATGTTTCTATTTGGTGTTGATCGTTCTTCCTAATTTAGGTATTGTGATAGTCAGGCTTCTACAGTATAGAATGCTAAATACACTAATTGAAACAAAATTGAACACAGAATTTGCTAATTTTCAAGATTGATAACAATATATAGATTCTGGTACTCTTCTCTTGTTCTTCCTTTCTAAGGCTCTTAATGCCTTTCAGTGCCTGTTCCATGTCTCTGTCAATGCATTACCCAAGCTGTCTTTTCATTTGCTTGATATCCTTTTCCCTTTTGACATTGTAACATTTACTCATTTTCTGTATTAGTCTCAGTGAGAGACTCTCAGTTCTTCCCATTCTGAATTTTGAAATTCTCAAAGTTTTAAAAAATGTAATGTGAGTACTTAGCATAATTTTGGTAGAGATTATTTTCTTAGTGCTCATTAACCAAACTCTTTTCTAATGCAAACTGAGAATTAGAGTGTGAAATAGGCATGTTTAGGAAGCTTCAGGAAACAAACAAACAAACAAACAAGACAACAATGAGCTTGATTTTAAACAGCTGGAAGCTAGGGTAAAGATGAAGAAAATATTTTCATTATGAGTAACAAATATAATGATTAGAAATGTTTTATTTAAAATGTATCTGTATCATGATACACTCACATCATTAATCTTCTAGATCTGATTGCTATGTAGCATTTTGTTTTATGTCATGTAAGCTTAAGCATCCCCTGAAGCTCTGCTTCATTTTTATCAAGATATTTTTTACCTTGTGAATTCTTATGCTTATAGAATGCACACTTTTGTAGAACACATGATGCAACTAGGATGATTCTGAAAGTAGTTCAAAATTCTGAGAACCTAAAGAAAAATTTTGCTGCCTATATATGGATTATTGTGTTAAACTTCAGATGCTTAAAATTATTTAAATATAATTTAAAATGTAATTAAAAATTATTATTACTTATAATAATAATAATATTTTAACAGAGAAAGCTACAAAAACTCGACTAAAACTTATAAAAGAAAAAGCTTTAGCATATGTTGGAGAGTTAACAATGAAAGCAGAAGAAGCTTATAAAGATATGGAAAAGTGGCTTGGAGCAAGGTTCCTGGCAGAAATGTCCAGGTAACGTAAATACAGTTTTGAACGGAAATACGTTTTTAAATTAAGGGCTAGTAAAGATGTCTATATAGAAACAAATAATATGCAAAATGTATATAGAAGATAATAATTTCATTTAATGAGCTAGAATTTAATTTTAAATTAAATAGCTGAATAGTAATGATGTGTTTCTTGGACAATTAGCAGGTTCTGCTGACTATTATTATAGTCAGATGTTACCAGTCCTTCTGTTTTTCCAGACTAAGGATTTAGCAGATTTTTGAGCATCAGCAGACACCTGGATATTTTGCTTTTTAGCAGTATCACCATTTCAGTGGGTTCTGTCACTTTGGGTTGTGGGTTGATTTTTTGTGTGGGGAGTTGGTTTTTTTTTGTTTTTTTTTTTTTTCCCTGTGCTATACACATACTGGAAATCTCCACCTGCTGTTATTACCACTGTGTGTAACTTTTATCAAAAATATTTCAAGGTTGATTGAAAAAAACAATCCTAACCTTGGCTATTTTATTGTCCTGGTATTTAAAATATACTTGGGGCTTCTATATGACCCTTAGGCCATCTGTCTATGTCCACATCACTGAAGTATTTCATTCTCCATTATACCTTTCAAAAGTATCACTTTGCCTTTAGGAAAATGTTTTTGGTGCTTTTGGCTTGTACTAACTTTTAAACCATACTTTGGACAGTGCTAGAAGGTACACTGCAAGGTAGGCCCAAGACAAGAAACAGAAATGTAGGATGTGAAAGCTCTAACAGGCAGTCGCTCAAAGTGTCTGTGCTAGCTTGTTCTGTTGGCTCTCCTGACAACAGCAGTGACACCCAAAGACATACACAAAGACAGCACGTGTTGGACAGTATGACTATGCCATCACATTTTAAACAGGAGTCCATATGCTCCATCAGAATGCTACTCTGGAAAGTGTTTTATCCAGGATTTATTTATTGGCAGAGCAGAGGGCAAGACATTGAGATAGCCTAAAAGATGATTACAAATGGAACATGTATGCACTGTCCCTAAAATTTAATAATAAAGAGTTTCATCCTTTCATGTTTTTCTATCTGGTCTCTTCTGTAGCTACCATTAGCATAAATTTCTTATCAGGCTAAAAACTACTTGCAACCAGAGGAAGAATACACTTGATAACAATTTTGCTAAGTACTGAATGCACAAGGGATTTGTAATTATTGCTTCAGAGCACATTAAAAATGCTAAAAATTGAATCTGTTATTAGTATCCTCTATGAAAAATAATTGCTTTCTGCATTTATATTTTTGCAGTGTAGAAAAGCTGATTGAGGTAGGACGGCACCATATTGAAAGTTCTAGCAAAATCCAGTATGAAATGAATTTAGAAGAAACAGATTTCTTCATCAGCAGTGATGTAAAATTGATTCCTGACCCTGTTCCTCCACCACGAGTTCCACTAATAGAGACCTGTGAAAGTAGTACTTTAACTATTTCACAACTTACCACACTTCATAAACATTTTCTACAAGTGGCACCAAAAGGTAAGATAAAAATTTATTTTTCACTGCTGAAAAGCTGCTAGTTGTGCAACTGAAATTTAAAGTAACTGCCAGGGGTAACGAACATTAGTCACCTATATTGTTAAAGATCATATCACAATAAACAATTGTGCTATATTTAGAAGGAAAGCCCCTGTATAGAATAGTAAAATATGACATACCGGACCACTTGAAATCTTTTAGTATCTTTGTTATGGGCTTTTTATATTCTCAAGACTATGTTCTTAATGTTCTTAATAGGTTGGTTATAAAGAAAGGGTTCTTTGCAGAAAGCGTTGTTAAGCACTGGAATAGGCTCCCCAGGGAGTTGGTTTAGCGACCATCCCCGGTTGTGTTTAAGAACTATTTGAATGTGGTGCACAGGGACATGATTTAGTGGTGGGCTGTTAGAGTTAGGGCAGCATGGTTAGGTTGTGGTTGGACTTGATGATCTTTAAGGTCTTTTCCAACCTGAGCAATTCTATGATTCTATGATTCTCCTAGCACATATCTGTATGCAGTATGATTTTCTAAGAGTGTTACATATCATACCTTGTAAATACAAGTCTTTAACTCATTTACTGATTCAGAGCTCAGTGAACAACTAAGTGGTTTTATTTTAAAACATACTATTGAAGAAGCCGGTATTTTTATGAAATTATTACATAGGATCTATTATAGATGTTAACCATTGTATTCTTCAGGTCAGTTTCTGTCAGTTGTCTAGAGGGATTTGCAAGTATTAACCCATACGTATTTTTCTTTGCAATTATATTGTTTGCCTACTCTCTAATTATGGGAACTTTTGGCTTAGGACACTTAAAAATACTTTCTATCAAAAATTAATACTACTGTGAAAATATTATAAAATAATAATAATTTAGTAAGGCAGTTTTAAACTGAGATAGCAGGTAGTTAAGCACATACACAGAAGGTTTAATTATTACTGTGTTCCATATTATAATTGTAACTTTTGTGCAAGACTGTGAAACAGAATACGTAAACCTGTACTTATAGTTTTGAGTTCAACTCTTTCAATACAGCAAGACCACAGAGGTACAATGAAGTTGAATTTAATCCTTCATTTCATGTATTTATAGAGAAATTCCATAAGATGGAACAAGCACTCAAATGAACAAATGTTTAGCAGAAAATTGTTTAGAGTTTCTGTAGAGAAACAGTTATCATTCTGCTTATAGTATAAGAGTAGGTGTATAAGCATTTCAAAATCCTCTGCAGAGGTTAAAGTAGCAGGCAATGTTGTACATGTAATGCCATGTGAAACTGAAAGTCTGTACACTTGGAATCATTAGATAGTGTCCTAGAGGTAAGACACACTGTATAAGATACCAGCTTGGACTGGTAATTCACTTTAAGAGAGTTGTTCTGTTTTCATGTAATTTCTTCGTTAATTAAAATATCTAATACTATTTTTTTTCTAATATAATCTGTAAGACTCTTAATGTTTTTGAGACAGAGAGCGAGTATTTTTATTGTGCATGTGTAATAGCTAGCAAAAAATACAAAATTAAGTATTTCTACGAAATTGTCTTTTTCATATTATATTCGTTAAAACAATGAAACAACGAAACAAAACAAAATTTTTCTTATGGACTAGTTTGAAAGGTAAGTTTTTTTAAGATTATTAGAAGTTCCAAAATCAAGAAGCTCAGATGATGATTTTATTGCTAGTAGGCTATATCGTTCACACCAAGAATCCCAGATTTCCTAAGACAACCAGACCTTTTCAGTACCCAAACACAACATGAAGTGTTAAATCATTCCTCCCTTAGAAAATTGGGAAAATTTCTTTCCATTCTTTTGCCTCCCCTTGTTCAATACAATGCCCAACAGAAAATATATGCCTCTTTAGTCATTAGTCTCCCATCAAACAAAACAGAGAATACAATGAAGTATCCCACACACTGGCAGTGAAGGTGTTAGCAGCTACATGCCCGAGTAAAACAAAGAGTAAAAAGGAAAGATTATTAGATAGGGAGAACTAAACATGCAACCAGTTTCCTCACAGGACATTTGGTAAATGTCAAAAGGATATCTTTTCAATTATATAATAAATTGACAATTTTAAAAAAATGGAATTGCCAATGTAATTTAAAATGACTAGGTACTAACAAAGGAAATATTATAAAAATTATAAATAGTTCTGTGATCCCTAGGAATTCAAAGTATTTAAGAGCTGCTGATACATCATAGACATCTTTGTTCTATCCTGCACACTTGGTTCTCCATGGAGGCATATTACTCAGCATTCTAAGCATCGATGGACAAAAAATGTGACCTTTGCTGGACCTTCCTACCTACTGATGTGGTTTTTCATTTGATAAGGAAATATTTAAACATTTTCTTCTATTATTATGAGTGGTGTTGCTGCAGTTCAGGGTAACCCAGCAGTATTTGTTAATCTCACTAACTCCTTTGATCATTTTATTAGCAGTGCTTTAGTATCTTGCCTTCGGAGTGTTCCCCTGTGGCAGGTCTGAAATGGAGCTGCTAACACATTTTTTTTTTCCTTCTTCTACAGTCTCTTTGCATGCTGTCTGTTATAATGAACAAAATTAAACTAACCATCAGATATCATCTTCTTACATTCTCTTTAGTACTACATTCTTCATATGACCCATCTACTGTCATTGCTATTAGCATGCATCTGAAATTTCTGAAGATTATGCTAACGGTGTTTAATAGAATCCAATTTTGGTAATGTTTTACAAGTCAGTAATACAATACAATCAAAATAGATTCTATCCCAGGCTTTTTTCTTCCATTTATAAGTGAATTTCACAAAGGAATTTTAAAGTGTATTTTTTTCACAGCAACAATCTTTGTGAGCAATCCATACTGGATTAGAGAACAGATTATTTGTCTGTAACAATCTTCAGTCAAACTTCAGGGAATTTCATATCTCATATCCAAAAATTGCTTAAAATGCCTTTATAAAATCTGAAATGGTCTACTAAGACGTGAATAGTGATTTTTATCAGTGTGATTCCAGATTTGTCAATCACAGAAGATAGTTGCTGACCAAACTGTAACACTTGTTTCTTTTTTTTAAATTTATTTTCTAATTGTAAACATTTCAGTTTAGGTTTATTGTGTTAATAGATTTGGAACAATAAGTATATCACATGTATTTATTTCTATTACTTTGCTGCCTTTCAAAGAATTGCTCACAGTAGAGATGTATCTGAACTGCATGTTCCTAATATGTATATATTTAATATTGCGACACTTCAGGATGCTTATAATACAATGGGAACAAATAGTTCTCAGAAATTCTACAGTGCCTACATGAAAATTTACCCCTTGTACAATAAAAAAGAATGAGGTACAAGGAGACTTTTTCCTTTCTATGATTGTTTTAATGTAAATGTTAATTGCGTCTTGGTTATTAGTTATTAAATGTTATTTGTACCTCTTGAGGTACAAACCACAAGGAGGATGGGAGGTTGTTATTAGGTCATTTCCTCAGTGCTTTACTTTTTTTTTTTTTCTTTTTTCTTTTTTTTTGTTTTTGTTTTTGTTTTTGTTTTTTCCCAATAAATAGATTTCAACTTTTATTGCTTCAATTCTACTTGGAATTAGTCCAAATTACGTGACTGCCTTCTTTTCGAATTCATGACCTTATTGCAACTACATGTTAAAAGAATTATTAAATTACCTGCCAAAAGTAGAAGATTCATGAGGTCCAGACAGAAAATTTTCAAAAATGTTTGCTTATGCAATTAAAAAATATGAGAATGACCATCTTAATAACAATTTGGAAAAACAATGTTGAGCACAACCTCAGTGCTTTGAATGTGTCTCAATTTTCAGAGCAAAAAGTGAAACTTATGCAGTTCTTCTTTCTCAAAGCAGCATAATTATATATATATATATAAGAACAGCAGATCACTTAAATATGCACGTTATTCATTCTGTGACAGATGTTTGATTATGTATTTTTGCAATTGCTCCAAGTAAATTTTTCTGTTAGTCATAATGAGTATAGTAACAGGCTTGTTAAATCAGTATTATCTTCTGAAGATGTTTTTCCTAAAAGACAATTCTGAATTCTATTCCCTGACAGTTTTTCTCTATTTTAATAATGATTTTGATGCTGCTGCATTTTACTGGTTGCAAATATTGAGATATCTATGCTAGTCAAAAAAAAAAAAAAAATCTGTAATCAAAACTTTTTTGTTTCAAATCAAAACATTTCTTAGAAAGGTCTTGGGAGCTGTCCAAGTGATGTTGAAGATCTTGTTTTCACTTGTTTCTTTTTATGACCTTGAGAGTCACAATCTATTCCCAAATTAAAAAAATAAATATGGAATGAAAATAAAAAGTAAAATCGATCATTTATTAAATAAAAACCATTTTATATCTAGTTGTTTTTTTCTAAATTATAGCCATAAGAGCACTGAAGCAATTTAAAGGCAGGAGTAATTCTTCTAGCAAGAGAGAAATTGATGACAGAGGGAAGGAAAAGAAAGCTTTGGAACATCCAAGAATAAAGAAGAATCGCCAGTTTCCAAAAATATGGCTGACAAAATACTCCTGGTTAAAATATGATGATGAAAGGGGAATAATGTTCTGTGCATTGTGTCGCAAGCATAATGTGGACTTGGGGGAAAGCATTCATAATTTTTGTTCTGGCACTGATGACTTCAAACTGGAATTTATAAATATACACCAGAACAGTGAAGCTCATGCTTGGGCTACCTGCATGGAAGCTGCCAGTACTGCTTCACCAAATACAGTTTCTGCTGAGCAGATGTTGAAGAGTATGAACTCCATAACAATAGGAAGAGTAGAAGGTACTTTTAGATCATGCCATGCAATTGCTAAATCTGGTTGGCCCTTTACAGACTTGGACTGGATCTGTGAACTAGATGATGCGAAAGGAACAGACACTGGTTCTGTATTCAGAAATGAAAAGTCAGTAAGAATGTTTATGCCTTTTGTGGCTGAAGTAGAAAGAATATCTCTAAAAGAGAAACTGGAGAATTGTAAATTCTTTTCTCTTATCAGTGATGAATTCACAGATAGTATATTCAAATCAGTGGTGGTTGTCTATGTGAGCTTTGCAAATGAAGGAAAAGTTCACTGCCAGATTGTTGGGGTTCAACCTGTTCAAAACAATGATGCTTCAACTATAAAAAGTGCGATTGAGGAAACATTTCAAATAAATCTTCAGCTTAGCTTGGCAAGTCAAGACTGCTCAAGAAAATTAGTTGGATTTGGAAGCGAAGGGACTGGTGTAATGACTGGTCAAAATGATGGAGTAGCTAATCTCGTGAGGGAAATTCAACCTTGTGTACAGTCTGTGCATTGTTTTGCTCACTGCCTAAGACTGTCTTACAAGGGAGCACTGGAAAACATTCAGCTACACAGTATCTTAACCAGTGGCTTGAGAAATATGTACTACTTTTATCACAACTCTACTCTAAATAAGAATAATCTCAAAGCTATATATGAAGCCATCAATTTACATCCAGCTATTCCATCTCGCATTGGAGGCTCCCAGTGGCTTCCTCGCCTACAGACAGCTCTACAGATTCTCCTTAAAGGTGAATTTGTTCTACATCTGAATAAGGTAACTGATTTAAAAATTGGACGTCTGTTTCAGAAAAATTAATTGCTGTGGTTAACTTTGACCCATCTACCTGACACATTATATTACTGTTTTGATTTCCAGATTGAAGGAGATTCAAGGACCTCGAATAGGCAGAAAGTCAAAGGCCTATTGTATCTCCTTCTGAAAATGGAGGTAGTCAAGTTTTCCCACTTCTTATTGGATGTCATCAATGTCCTCAACATTCTGTTGCGTGTTACTCTGGATCACAATTCCTCGATTGCAGATATATTTGCTACCATGCAGTCAACTGTGGAAACGCTCCAAATGTATCAAACAAGGTCTGACATTTCTAACAATGAAATGACAATCTTTTACAATATAGCAAAAGAGTAGTATATATTGTTTTGTACATTGTACCTTTCAGAGCTGGTCCAAAGGAACGCTTGACGGAAACCATTCAGTATTTTCATGGTCACCAGCTTGTTGGAAATGGAAATATTTCAGCAGTACGAACCAAAGTACTAAGTGATTTGGTGAAGAGATTAGGTGATCGTTTCTGTGATGCTAATCAAGATGTCTTGAAAGCAACTCTTATTGGAAGTTTTAAACTATGGCCTGACAAAATGAAACAAGGTATAGAACTTTGATAATGGCTTGCTGAAGAAGTGCTTGTTTGACTTTTTTTAAACAACTGATATATTGTTTTCCCTCTGTTATAGAATTTGGTGAAAAGGAAGTATCTGTCTTGAGTAAACATTATGAAGCCATACTAAAAGCTGCTAGTGTGAAGATCAGTGAAGTTGGAACTGAATGGAGCATGCTGAAATTAGAGCTTTATAACAGGTAATAAGGATCCTGCACTTACACCTGTTTTTTTGACTTACTTAAAAAGATTGTGAAAATACATCTAGTAATAGGCATAATTCTATAACTTTTACTTTGCTTTATAGATTTCAGAACATCCAGACCTTGACATGGGATTCAGTGAATGCACACTATTCAAAGAAGTATCCCAATATCCTGGCATTGGTAGATCTGATCCTAACTCTGCCAGCAAGCTCAGCTGAAACAGAGCAAAGCTTCAGTCAAATGGAATTCATCATGATGCATCTGCACTCTAAACTAATTTCTGAAAGTGTGACGACAGATCTTACGACAATCCAGATGAATTCTCCGGATATAGAAAAATTTGACCCCTGAGAAGCTATTAATTTGTGGAATATTATTTGGCAGAAAAATAGTATGCCACAGACAAATGATATGACAATAAATGAAAGATCAGTTTGCTCCTCTGAGTTTGATTTGGAGACTCAGAGTGAAAGTGATTAGATGTTTTCCTTCAAAATCGTTCTTGCAACATCTATGAACAATTTACCAATATATCTTGCAAGATTAATGACTGTAAAATTTCTATCTTTTCCATAAAGTACTACAGTTATTTTTAAAAATAGCTTTTCTTTCTATGCTCTGTTGAATCACTGGTAGCTTTTTATACTTGTCCTTCTTTTCTGGATTTCTTACAAATCTGAAAGTAATGAACGAAAAATATGCAGTACGTTGTGACCGTGTCTACAGCAGAAAGGCTACATTCAGAGAGGATGAGTCATAATTACCTGATCCTTTGTTGCATTTAATCTAAGCCACTGATACATTATATCCACTTAATTTAGCCCTTATCTTTAATAGTTCGGGAAGTTTTATTCATTCTGAAAACCATTAGTTTCCTTTGATAAATTTGTGGGAAATCAGTGCATGATTGCTGTCAAATGATTGCTTGGCATCCTTAGCCTCTGAGTTAAGAATAATGACTTCTCTCCATATCTGAGTGTATTACTACTTCTAAATCTCTTAGAAAAAGAGTTTAACATGACATTTCAAGTTTCTTGTCAGACTTGTCCTTCAGAAGACCTTTCTACATAGTACAAGGTACTGTAACGTAAAGACTTCTTAGGTAGTTCTGTAGTCCACTGCTGATAATTAATTGCATAAATCAGACTTCCCATAGCACATGCTCTTGCAACCAGGATATGAGTAATGTACTTCATAGCTTAAACCATTTAATTTTCATGTAAAAATATTTCAGTGAGGACTAGAATAAGAATGCTGTATCTTTCTAACATTGGAGTTGAAGATGATTGCTGTTCAGAGAATTTTCTGGTGTCATAATTTGCTACTATCTTCATGTTCTGAATGAAACTTTCTGCTCAGTTCCTGTCATTGAAAAGCATCCCAGCAGAATATGTTTAAAGAAAACTAGTAAGAAATTATTAAAGGCTTTTCTTAGTTCTGCCCAAACTGATGAACTAAAAATAATTTGGGGTAAATAAATTTGAAGTCTTTGACCTTTAAGTCAATCCTTTTCTAAACTGAGATTAACACTCTGCTTTTGATATAAGAAGTCTAGTAATTGCACAGGGTGTGATACTTACATATAACTTTTCTATTTTTGCATATGTATTCATGCTACTTCTAGGTCTAAGTAGTTGTATATGTCAGAAACAGAATGTGTTTGAGTACTTACCTCTTTAAAATATCTTAATCCACAAGTAGAATTAACTTTCAGTTACTGAACAAAAGATCAGTACTGCATATTATATGGTAGATTATAAAAGATCATTGAAATATGTGCATTTGTGATTTCCCAGATAACAAAAATGTTCCTATATATTTTATCTAATAAGCAACAGGATATATATTATAGGGCGTGCCTTATTAGATGTATTGCATAGCTGTTTCCAAGGATTTTCTCTTTAAATTTTATAATGCCAGATTTTTTCCTTTGAAGTTTCAAATGGATAAGTTCTAGGTATGATAAGAATGGAAAATATTTGGAAATATTACTTAGGAAGTCCAAGAGCAGAAGACGAAATCTGAAGTAACAAATACAAGTAGATTTTGAATCTGTAATTCTGAAGACACTTTTGCGATGCATGAGTGCAACATCACAATTTTTGGTGTTAGGATTGAATATAATGGGTAAACTGCCCTTGCCAATGAAATCTTAGTATCACAAAAAGTAAGAGGTATTGAAAGATTTGCAGTGAAATAGGACCAAGACAGACAACCTGTAGTCAATATTTGCCTCTCTTCATAGGTTTGTTAAAATATTCTCTTGCTTTTTATAACTATCTGAAGTATTTTGCTGAAGATAAAAATGATCTGCTATCATCCTTCCTGACGTTACCTACGGAGAAGAGTTTATTACTGTGTTCTTTGTAATGCTTTGTTTTAATTGAACAGCTATAGTTATTTTCTCATGGCCTTCCATTTCTAGATAAAAATAGCAGAAGTCTTATAATATTGTCTCTCAGGTCATTTTTTAACTCTGTGATGATTCTTGCTTAGTTTCTATACGTCCATCAAGATCTTCAGATTCCAAGATTGTCTGTCAACAGAAACCTTAACACTGCAAATATTATTTCAAATTTCTTCCCATATACTTTTTGATGATATTGTAATCAACTAAAATCCCTAAAGCCTTTCTACAGAACTGTTACTTTGGTAGTATGACTCCCTCTGTGACATTTATGCAGTGAATTATTTCAGTACAGTGTAGCATTTAACATTTATTCTAATTGGATGTGTTCTTTTCATCCCAGGCTTTACCTCGAATGTGTAAAGTTCATTTTGAATTCTAATTCTGTATTCCGAAGTACCTGATGTCCTTTCAAGATTGATTTTATCTGCAGTATAATAAACGTAGTAATTTTTGCAGTCTGTTTCCTCAGTGCACTTTGATTTGCTTCTAGTTGTATTTAATTACTGGTTTTCTCAAATCTCTTCAGTTATTCTAACACTTACTGAATAGTAATTCCTCTTCCATAATGTTTTCGATCCTTTCTTGTTAAGAATATCAACATATTGAATAAGTTTGTTTTCTATTTACGTCATTCAACAAAGATCTGTTGTTCTTTCCTTTTGGAATTAATGAAAAGATATTGTAAAGAGCATACATGTTTTGAAACCATTATTGTTAAATGGACAAAGAAGATTCTGGACTTGTTTTCTCATTCTACCCGGAGGACATTATCTCCTCCTACCACTTGCAGAGCCCCATTTGGGGATGACAGTCTTCTTTCTCAGCACCATCTGTGCAGCTACCCACTCACATCTCACCATGACTGTAGAGCAGCTCTGTGGCCTTAGCAATCTATGAAGAAAACTGACTAATTGTCTTCTGTCTTGTAATACGATGTGATATTTTTAAAAAGTTCTGTCCAGTATAAGATAGAAATAAACACATTAAATCTAGACTTAATATTGAAGACTGAATTGAAGACAGTTATTTGAAATTTATTTTTAACATGCTTATGAGGGATCTCTTTTGAACCTTCCTAGTCCTCCGTAAGCACATTATGATGAGGTATTCCCTTATACTATACTTGAAATTTTTTGAACTACTACACCAATTTAGTGACACTGTGGAATTTTCCCACATCAGGAGACTTCATAAGGAGGTAATTTAAGAAACTATCATACAACACATCAGCAATTCTACATGTAGCAGAGAGAAAGTAACATTTACCACAGAAAAAGAAAATTGAGCAAATGCTACAGATCACCTAAGAGGGCTTGAGTATCTCACTGATTTGCCACAAGCTTACATCAACTAAGGTTAAAGTTACCTTTAAACTATGTCCTAACGTGTTAGACAATACAATATGAACAGTGATTAAAGTTTTAATCTCCAGTTTATTCTCCCACTTTAGACACTGTCTCTTCATTCAAGTTTGTTGATTTTCTTGTCCCTCAAATGTTTCTTGGATATATTTTGAAAATGTATAGTCACTTAGAGTAGAACCAACTACTCAGGGGGGTAAGTGCACTCATCCAAAGGTTGTAGTCTCAAGACAGCAGTGGCCATCAAGATGATAAAGATGAACTGGGGCCCCTCTCAGGAATCCTCTTATGCCTGCTAGGTTTGCAAGTGCATTGTGCCAAGTCATAAATAAGCGAGCTCACTTTAACAAGCTTGTCAAAAGTAAGTTTTGTAGCCAAAATGTTCTTGCAGGAAAGGTAGGCTGGTTTGTCAGCAAAGTAGGACTAACCCACGAGAGGACAGGATATCATACTTTCTGATACCAGCCTTTGATTGTCATAGTGATGGCCTTGCATTAGAAGTGTTTAAGCCATTCCCCAGGAAGTCAGAAAGTGCTTTCTGTTGGTCCTTTACAAGTTACTGGTCACCTTAAATACATAAATCAACAACTGTGTTTCAGTAATGACCTAAGTCACATGATTTTAAAAAGGTCTTCTTTCTCAAAATAGGTAACTCAAAAACTTTCAGAAGGTGGAAGATTGCCAGATTATTACTACTACTTTGCCAGTATTTTTCTCAGTTTTTGTTTTCATGCTGAAATTTATGTGTGACCATAAGGCTTAGAGTCCAGATGTTTTTCTCTTCTTTCTTCCTGTATCAGTAGAACTCAAGATTTCCAAACCTGCATTTTTTCCTCTCCAAGGTTTTCTTCAATATTAAAATGTACTGAGAGCTTTACTCCTGATTTTCATATTGAAAGCAAACAGAAGAGGTTCCGTTCCTACTAATTCAAATTTTCCACAGGACTTTGAATGCTCACACTATCAAATGGATGTTCAAACACATTCTTCATGTTCCTGACACTTAAATTTTTCTTCGTAAAATTAATTTTCACTTCTCTCTTCCACTTCAAAGATGAATTCTCTGTCTAAGCCACAGAATGTGCACAATAGCTCATTTTCAGAAGGACAAAATTTAGCTGCAGTAAGAAACAAACAAACAAACAAACAAAAACCAAACAAGCCACTTTTTCATCCTTGTATTTTACTGGTTGTGTTTGCTTTTAATTGTAGTCTCAAAACTTAACGTATTGACATTGTGGAAGTGATCACAGCCAGACCAAATCAGCTTAGTCTCTCAAAATTTAGATCATTTGAAACTTTTTTTACTTTTTTTGTTTTTTTAGTCTTTACTGCAGAGATTTTACAGTGAACCTCTGATCAAGGAAAGTCCATTTCTGATTGGACAGACTCATATTGCTCTACTGTATGTTGTATTTTGGCATGCATAGTTTCATGTTTTAATAATGCACATGAAGTTAAAAGATTCTGTTTGCTTGTAAGCCAATCCCATTTTACAAAA